CCAGCTCCAGCGCCACCAGCGCCAGTACCTCCAGCAGCTCCAGAACCTCCAACACCAGCACCCTCAGCATCTCCAGAACCTCCAGCTCCAGCGCCACCAGCGCCAGCACCTCCAGCAGCTCCAGAACCCTCAGGGCCAGCTCCTCCAGGACCAGCTCCACCAACAGCAGCACCCCCAGAACCGGCACCTCCAGTCCCAGGGTCTCCAGCCTCAGTGCCTCCAGCAGCAGCACCCTCAGGCTCAGCACCTCCAGCCCCAGCAGCTCCAGTACCTCCAGTACGAGCACCTCCGGGACCAGCACCACTCCCAGCTCCAGTGATGTCAGCAGAAGTACCTCCAGTGGCAGAGCCCCGAGCTCCAGAAGCGCGACCCTGACGGCGACCGTACCAGTCGTGCAGCTGCTGCGAGGTGAGAGGCACGCGCGGACAAAGGCGGCTACTCCAAGGAAACCGCGCAACAGCAGACTCAGAACCCTCAGCGCCAGTACCCGCAGCAGCTCCAGAACCTCCAGCGCCAGCACCCTCAGCAGCTCCAGAACCTCCAGCTCCAGCGCCACCAGCGCCAGTACCTCCAGCAGCTCCAGAACCTCCAGCGCCAGCACCCTCAACAGCTCCAGAACCTCCATCTCCAGCGCCCTCAGCAGCTCCAGAACCTCCAGCAGAAACAACTCCAGTGGCAGATTCACCAGCTCCAGCGCCTCCCGCAGCAGGGCCCCTAGCTCCAGCAGCGCGACCCTGACGGCCGGCGTACCACTCAAGCACCTGCTGTGGGGAGAGAGGGAGGCGACGACGAGAGTGCAGCGGCGAGGCACCAGCGGAGCAACTACGGAGACGGTCGCTCCAGGGAGACTGCTCACCAGACGCCTCAGCGCCCCCAGGCTCAGCACCCCCAGACTCCTCACACCCAGGCTCAGCACCTCCAGTCTCCGCACCCCCAGGCTCCGCACCTCCAGGCTCAGCACCCCCAGGCTCAGCACCCCCAGGCTCCGCACCCCCAGGCTCAGCACCCCCAGAAGCAGCACCCCGAGAAGGACCACCCTCAGCAGGACCTGAGTCACCAGTGACCTCAACCGGCTCAGTCAAGGGAGGAGGGTCTACCTGAGACACACCTGAAGGAGCAGGACCGGGAGCGGGGAGGGGGTCTACCTGGGGAGCACCTGGAGCGAGGAAGAGCGGCGGGGGGGGGAGAGGGGCAGTGCGGTAGGGGAAGAGACGGTAAAAGGGAACCGACTCGTCGAACGTGACGTCCTGAGAGGGGAAGACACGGCGCGAGGTGGGGTGGTAAAACTGCCAACCAGGCGCGTCAGGGACAAAGCCAAGGAAGACACAGGGAACAGCGCGGGCGGAGAGCTTGTCCGCGGTGGTATCGCGGACAAAGGCACGAGCACCCCAGACCCGGAAACGCGACGCATCGCCAACCTTCCCCGTCCACAGCAGTGTGGGCGAGGTCTCCGGCAAGGAGACACGGGGCCAGAGGTTGAGCTGATGCGCGGCGTACCGGACCGCAAACGGCCACAGAAAATGGGGGGCAGCCGCATGGATCATGGAGGTACGAGCGACCTCCATGACTAAGCCAATGCGGCGCTCAGCAACCCCATTCTGCTGCGGAGAGGCCGGAAGCGTGAACGTCTGGCGGATGCCGTGCTCCGCACAGTAGGCTGCCAAGAGGTCTGAGGAGAACTCACCACTTCTGTCAGAGTGCAGACGCAGGACAGGAAAGTCCGACTGGAACCGCTCGCGGAGCTGGAGACGAACAGCGCGGATCCAGGGGATCAAAACATCAGGGACCTCCCCCTTGCTGCGCAAGGGGAAGACCGTGGTGTAACGCGTGTAGTCGTCGACGACCAGCAGGAAGTACCGCTCGTGGCCCTGTCCACGGACGCGGGCTGGGCCCCACACGTCCAGGTGGAGAGTCTGCAGGGGAGCCTCTGTGGGAGGGAACGAGGAGGAGTGAGGAGCGGCGCGCTGCCGCCCCTCGACACAGGGAAGACAGGGAGGAGCAGGCGAGGGTGGTAGAGGAGGCAGAGTCTCTGGAAGTCCAGAGACAAGGAAACGGCGGTGCATGCTACGAAGGCGCTGCACCGAGGGGTGACCAAGGCGGTGGTGCCAAAGGAGGGTCTGGTGCGACAAAGCGCGACACGAGCAGGGGGCCGCTAGCTGACCTGACGCAAACGCAGACGCAGACGCAGCTACCTGAGGGGACACAGTGGTCAGTGTGTACAGACTCGAGCCAGGCTCTCGGGTGAACGTGGCCAGGTGCCGACCAGTCCGGGAGGACGTACAGTGGGTCACACGCTGACCTCCAGGGGTGAACTGGTCAACCCACACATCCTGTAGGTCAGCTCCACTCACCAAGTTCGTAGAGAACGAGGGGAGGTGAAGACCTGACAGGGAGCCAGACGGGACCGCCGGACACGGCAGGACCGTGGAGGAGTGCGCAAGGACTGGACCCCCAGAGGGGTCTGCCAGGGAGACTGCAACCGGCCGACGAAGCGGCGTGAGGGTGGTGCTGTCGCGAAAGAAGGAGCGGGAAGCACCTGAGTCAAGTGTGAAGGTGTACAAGGCCTCAGCAGGCGCAGTACCAGAGAGAGCAGACTCACCAGGACCTGGAGCAGCAGCCTCACCAGCACCTAGCGCAGGAGACGCACTAGCACCTAGAGCAGCAGCCTCACCAGCACCTAGCGCAGGAGACGTACTAGCACCTAGAGCAGCAGCCTCACCAGCACCTAGGGCTGCAGGCTCTATACCTGGGTCAGGCGGTACGCACAGGGAACAGGCACGGTCAGCACTAGTAGGCAATGCATACATGGCAGTGAGAATAGCATCATTGTCAAGAGCAAAGATATCTACCCTCTGCCCAAGCAGCTCCAGCCAGGTGGGGAGCTCAGCCTCGTCGCCAATTTGGTACGCCAGGCGTCGCTCAGACGGGCGAAGCAGCGGGACTGGGTGTGACCAAGTGTCCCGCAAGCCTGACCAGCCCTATCACCTGTGCGAAGGACGTACGGGCAGCGAACGGTACTCCGAGACCCTCGAATCTGAGCGTACCACTCGTGAAGCTGCCGGGACGTAAGTGTCTCGCGCGGACGCCGCTGCAGCTGCAGCTGGCCACTGCCAGACGCTCCCGACCGACCAGCCCCATGGCGACAGCCACGACAGCTACCGCCACAACCCCAACTAGGGTACCACTCACGAAGCTGCTGAGGCGTGAGAGACTCGCGCGGACGTCGCTGGAGCTGCATCTGGCCACCGCCAGTAGCAGTAATAGCAGTAGTAGCAGCAGCAGCAGCAGCAGCAGCAGCAGCAGCAGCAGTCTAGCAGTAGTAGTAGCGCGGGCAGGGCAGGCAGGCAAGCAGGCGTGGCAGGCAGGCAGGCAGGCAGGCAGGCAGGTAGGTGCTCATCAGTGGCGAGAAGGGCACGCGCACGACGGCGGCGACGGCGGGGCCGCGACAGCTGCGGCAGAGCAGGACCGCGTCGGAGGTAGGGCAGGTCCGCTACAGCTGCTGCAGGGCGGGGACGTGACGGCGGCAGAAGGCTCCGCGGCAGCTGCTGCAGGGCAGGGCCTCGACGGCGGCAGGAGGCTCCGCGGCAGCTGCTGTAGGGCGGGGCCGCTACTGTGGCAGGACGCTCCGCGGCAGCTGCTGCAGGAGTGACGGTGGCGTCCAGGGGCAGCCGCGGCGCGCGAGGCTGCAGCGCGCTACGCGAGCCGCGGGCGCGGCGCGCGAAGCCGCCGCGGGCTGCGCGAGGACGGCAGCCGCGGCGCGCGGGGCTGCAGCGCGACGCGCGGGCAGCGAACGCGACGCGCGGGGCTGCAGCGCGACGCGCGGGCAGCGGACGCGACGCGCGGGGCTGCAGCGCGACGCGCGGGCTGTGGGCGCGACGCGCGGGGCTGCAGCGCGACGCGCGGGCTGTGGGCGCGACGCGCGGGGCAGCGACCTGGCGGGGCGGCGCCCTGGCCTGACGGGCCTGCAGGGGCGGCTCGCAGGCGTGACGTGTCTGCAGGTGCGGCGCGTGGGCCTTACGGGCCTGCAGGGGCGGCGTTCTGGCCTAGGGCAGCAGTAGGCAGCATGAGGGCTGCAGGACGGCGCGCGCAGCGCAGCACGTCACAAGGCAAGGCAGGCAGGCAGGCCAACACGTGGGGTAACGCGGTAACCGCAACGGTAGGTGGGCCCGAAAAAAAAAAAACGGTCCTACGGACCGAGTGCTCTGAAACCATGTCAGAATCTAGCAGCAGGAATGATTGAACTATCAAAGAGTTGGGTACAAGTATGAAACCCTAAAAGGGTCTGTACCCCATATTGGCTACCCCACTACAGCCTACACATATATAGCATGCATATACTTTGACAATTGTAACATGCTGTTATCGGGTAACAGTACCTAGAAATGAATGTACTTTCAAGGAGCAAGACACGCCCTAAATATACTGCAAGACCGAGAAGTGATGTGAAGAAGATACCATGCCTTATGCTTATCTAGCGCTCAATGGTTAACCTGAATAAAGTAAATAACATTTTTTGGGGATTTTGTGTACATGAAGGAAAAGTTCAGGGGATGAGTTAGAGACTAACCCAACCCATTTGACAAAGCAGCTAACTCTAAGAAAGAAGTGGGAGAGTACGGTAGTAGTGTAGAACTGCTACGGTAAAAGAGGGCCAAATGAGATGAGGGATGAAGGGAAAAAACCCCAGAAAAAAACCCATCAGCACTCTGGGTGAGTGACTGGTCTTGATCCATGTCCACCTGCTGTGCGCCCCAGCCCAGCCCCCCAAAAAAACGCCCTGCCGGGATACTGCTCTGCTTCACCAGCTACTGCCCTTCGCCTTTGGCTCAAGGCACACTTCGGCAGAGCGAGCAGGTGTCAGTTGCACACTGTCAGTTGTATTCTTTAAAGCCTGAGAGGCGAGAGAAACTGAAGACACGTAACTTGGTAACTTATTAGAGAGATCTGTTTGCAGGCCCAGCCACAGCTGCAACTGCTGCTCCAGCTAACCCTGTCTACTGCTACAAACCACCTAGCTGTTGCTGCTGCTGATGCAACTCACCCAGCTGCTGCCTTGAAGTGCTGCCACTCACAGCCGCTACCTCAGGAAGGAAGGTTGATGGGGAAGAGGTTAAGTCCATCGCTAGAACCCAGCTGCTCTGCCTGAGATTCGAACTCGCCCAGTGCGTGCTGTGAAAATGCCCAAGGGTTTAGGGTTCTGGGACACCAGAGAGACTTGGGAGCCGTTTTGTGGCAACCGGCTTGCACCGTCACAAGTTGAAATCCCTGCTTCTGACACTTGAAGCATTTCACGCATCAAACCACTGCTGCCACTACCTTCGTCCCTCCATAAGTCTAGAACCAGATAAGCCATTCTCCTGTTTCAACGCTAGCCTGGCCTGGCACGACCCCTGGTATCCTAAACAGCTTCTTCCTTGAGGAACGAGGCAGCAGCCGCCATGGCTTCCGCAGAGCAAAACAGCCCAGCAGGATAGTCCGTCAGCGATAGGAGACCTTCGTCGTCATCATCACCATCAACCCCAGCAGCTGCAGTAAGCATGTCAGCATCCGCTAGCGCAGCAAAACCGACTGGTGCACCATCCGCACCAACTGCGTCAGCAGCAACAACAGCCCCAGCACCAGCGGCGGCGGCAGTGGCAGCAGTGGTGGAGGCGGGCATGCGGATGCCCTGGCGGTTGAGCTCGTCTAAAACGCCGTCCAGCGAAGGGGGCTTGAGGCCCAGCGGCAGCGGTGTGGTGGGGTTGGTGAGCGCCTCGCTGATGGCCGCGTCGAGAATGTCGTTCGCCTGTGGGGCGGGGCAGAAGGAGAGTGTGGGGGGTGGGGGGGTGGATTGGGGCGGGGGGAACGGGGGGAGAGGGGGGGAGGAGAAATCTACACATGAGTCGACTGACAACAGTGGGTACACTCAGACGCTTGAGCCCCAGAGGCAGCGGTGTGTGGGAGTTCGCGAGGGCGTTGCTGATAGCAGCAACACGTGTGTCGTTGGAGTGAGAATGCGAGTGACAACATTCAGCATATACCTCCCCACCCCACCCCCATCCCCATCCCCACCCCCATCCCCATCCCCACCCCCACCCCACCCCTACCCCCAACCCCATCCCCACCCCCACCCCCACCCCACCCCTACCCCCACCCCCACCCCCACCCCCACTCCCACTCCAACCCCACCCCCACCCCCACCCCCACCCCCACCCCCACCCCACCCCTACCCCCACCCCCATCCCCACCCCACCCCTACCCCCACCCCCATCCCCACCCCCACCCCCACCCCCACTCCAACCCCACCCCCAACCCAACCCCCCTCCTCTTGCAGCACAAGACAATCAGTGCACACACTCGAGCACGCATCTCCAGCTCACCTCATGCAGGTCGTCGCCAATGCTAGCCGAAATCGCAGCAAGGTCCACCGTCAGATCATCCGAAAGCGGAAACATGGGATTCGGCATCGCCTCGTCCGCCACGTGCGCCGCGCCACCCGCGTCTACCCCTCCTCCTCCCGCTCCGCCCGCCGCTCCGGACAGCATAGCCCCCATGCCCCACCCGTGCGCCGGGGAGGGGCCGAATCCGGGCGCGTGCGGGAGGCCGGGCATCATGGGCATCCCGAGGAAGGGGGGCGGTGGCATCATGGCAGGGCCCCCGTTCGCGTGGCTTCCGGAGGGCGGCGCGGCGGAATGCGGATAGCCGTTGGGCGGCATGCCATTAAGCGGACAGACAGGAGCGCCGCAGACCATGCCTGGAGGACCGTTGGCAGCGCCGTTGGGAGGGCCGTTGGGTGGCATGGGGTAGCTGAGCGGGTGCTGGTGCTGGCGCGGGGGGAAGCACGGCATTCCGCGCGCTGGCATGCCGGGATGGGGCCACGCGTCCATCGGCGGAGGACCCGCGGGGAACTGCAGTGGGGAAGAGAAGCGCAGGGAAGGTGGGGGGGGGATGGGAGGGGTTGGGGGGGCGTGGGAGGGGAGGGGGGGGGGAAGGGGAGGGGGATAGGGAGGAAAGAGAGTAAGCAGCGGAATTGACAACAGGTAGGTTGCCGAAATTGCGGAAGAGGGGCGAGAAACGGGTAGGAGCAAGGAGACGAGAAGCAGGGTGAAGAGGGAGTAAGCTTGAAGCGGGAGAGTGGGATGGGGGTCGGAAGGGTATTGGGGTGAGTAGATACAATGACGAACAGATTGTCAGGAGAAATGGCGAGCTCGAAGGAGTTATCTTACCGCGGGGTAGTGGTGCCATGGGGAGGAACCATCAACGGCCAGCCACGAGGGAGGCGGGTACGCCGCCACGCGCGGCTGCATCTGCTGCTGCGGCTGCTGCTGCCCCTGACAGTGCTGCTGCTGCTGTTGCTGCTGCTGCATATGTCCCCACATGTGCGGCCGCGGAAAACCGCCCGGCGCCGCTCCCCCGGTCGTCGGATGGCCCCATACCGGCATGCCCATGGCAGGCGGCGGGTGCGGCATCATCGGGCTCATGGCAGGCGACGATTGATGCGGATGCATCATCGGCATGTTGCCGTATGGCTGATGGCGGAATGGCATAGGCGGGCACGGCGGCATCATGCCGGCCATTTGCCGAGGCGGCATCATGGCGGCAGGGTGACCCGTCGGAACGCCATGCGAAACGCTCCCGGGAACGCCACTCGGAACGCCACTTGTTACCGCATTCGCGGGGTTACCACCACCGCTAACGGCCGCACCGGCAGGGGGGGCTCCAGGGCCCCACGTGGATCCCGATGCTCCAGGCGTTCCCGCAGGAGCAGCAGCGGCAGCAGCAGCGCCAGCCGGCCAGGCGCCGGCAGAAGCGCCGGAATCCGCGGGTGCGCGGTTGGTGTGCCAGTTGGCGGCTTCCGCGTCCCGCGCGGCGAGATGGCGGCGGTGCGAGCGGTACTTTTGGAGATGGCTGGCGATGTTGTGGCGAGTGAGGGACTTGACGCACATGAGCTCGAGAATGCGGGAAGGAATGGCCTTGTCCACGCCTAGCTGCTCCACCGCTTGCACGAACCTTCTGTGAAGCTCCGGCGTCCAGTCCACCTGAATGTGGTACACAGATGATGCGAATGGGGAGATACGGAATGATGGCATCGAGGGAAAGTGAGCTGTAATGTTCTGAAGGAATGCGAAAACCTTAGTGGACCAATCGGCGACGCACATTGAAAAACAATAAGCCGATGTTGATCGATCAATGTCACGAAGCCCATCAGACGCATGAAGGTGACCACACTTCACGTTAAAAGGCAGGAATTTAACTGACCTTGGGCTTTTTCTTCTGCGCTGGACTCTTGCTGGTGTCCTTAGAAGTCATGTCGCTTTGCTCATTCAAGTGAGAATCTGAATGAAAAGTCTCCGACGGTCGCGCATCCTCGGTAACAGCAGGCTCACGTTTCACTTCCGCCGCTTGGCCAGACGGCTTGTCCAGAAGCGTATCCTCAGGATCGGGTAACAGCAGGTTACCCAAGTTACCAGGTACATCAAGATCGTCGATTTCGCCAGCTCCTAGAGGATCGACGGAGAAATCAGGCCACGTGGAGATATCGCATCCGTCCAACATTTCCGGACTGACTTCACACGCATTTCTGATCTCAGCCCTGTCTTGAAATGTACGATCAACAGCGATGTCTTTCGCGGAAGTTCCGCCTGATTCAACGGCTCCTAACGGACGCTCTTCAACCAAGCAAGAGCTCATCGATCCTGCTTCAGTACCCTTGCTGCCATCCCCTTGAGAAGCCGTATCGCCTTCAGCTGCCAGGGTTGCTTCGGCTACGTTCGACGATCGTCGAGCTTTTGCCTTCAGGTCAATCTTACTCCCATTCCTTTTCGTCAAAACGGGATGCTTCTTCGCGATCGCGGTTTCGCGAACACCCAGGTAAGCACCGTAGTCGGCGCTGGATCGTTCCCTTGGAGCGTTGCCAGAAGCTGACTGGGCGACATCCTTGTCAACTTCAGCGCCTCCCATCTGACTGGTCCTGGCATTCAAAACACAGGCCATCGTTCTGGCTGCTTCTGACGTGACAATGACACCGTGTCAACCAGGAAGTACTGAATAATAACGTTATAGCTTGAACTTGAGAATATAGTGCAGTGAGTGCCGGCTGTGAAAAGCAGAAAGGAATAATGACTGCAGACTCGGGTTAGGTAGAAGTATTGAGATGCACTCGCTCAAATCACCACGTGGAGATGGTATCACGATGGATAGAACCCTACAGATGAAGCTGTAGCAAAAACGTCCGCTGCGGTCGGATATTACTGATCGTTCAATGTAGGAGGATTGATAATTGCTTGAGTGAAGCAGAGGTGAGAAGGAGAAAGGAGTGAGACACTTCTGTGTCATGACACTAAGAGGGAGAAGCAGGTGAAAGTGCTACAGAGGAACAAAAGTAGGTTGTCTGACAGACAAGGGAAAGGCAGAAAGTTCGGGAAAGGAGAAGATAGCAGAAGAGATGGGAGGGGAGGAGTGGGCTGCGATGAGGAAGATTGGAAAGGGATGGAGAAGGGTGGAAACTGAGATGACAAGCAGGATGCAGGATGCGCTGCATTTTTGGCGAACAACAGGAGGGATGCCATGGAAGTTCGTTGGGGAAAGGGATGTATGGCAGCAAAGGGATGGCGGATGCATGTCCTTTTGCGACGCCTTTTGCGACAATAGATACCCTTCGATTCCTTCAGATACAGGTCGCATGGAATCCTGCGACAGTGATTTTTTGCTAGATTGCTGTTTCGCTCTGGCCGAACGCGTCGCCGTAGTCAACTGTGACCCCAATTTCCTCTCTGTTCGTGTCGTCCAACCGCTGGCTGGGCTCTGCTTACAAATATCGAGGTGATCGTCCAGCGCCGTGCGAAAAAGGTTGAGGGCAGAAAAATGCGTTTCACTCACTCCTCCTTGGCGCGCCGCACGGGTTGCAGATCACGAAGATGTGACCAGTAGTGTCCTTACATGTCTGTTGTGTTGATCCGCGTGCGACTGACAGCAGGACCTTTGAAACGGATAGTTCATGGTTTTCGCCTTTGGACTACCCAAAACTAGTTCCGGAACTATTTGGAGTCGCATTACATTGAGAACAACACCGTAGGATAAATAACTACTCCTATAATGGAATAAAACACCATAAAGGCAAATATGTCTGCAGCGAGCTTGGTGTTTGTGCAAGGAAAAACGGTCTGTTGTGGAAGTAATGATGCTGTGCAATTTGCACTGGCAGACCGAGCAAATGTGTCGGATTCGCGGGCATCGATAACTAAACTTTGAGTGTGACCTCCTTCCAAAGAAAACGAAGCTGCAGGTGTTGTACACCTGAAAGCAGCCTTCACATAACAGAAAACTTCATACCTGACCAGATAAAACATCTCTGATGATGCAATGATGTCAATGTATCACGTGACTTCAATCATCACGCCCTAGATTCTGACGTCATTTCTGCCCAGGCTCAGCCTCACACCCAGTCCGGATACAGCAGCAACCTCTTCCCTGCACACACATCCATTTGAACCCATCTTTTGTACCAACTGTACTGTACCCAGTAGCATCCGCTGACCACATAAATTGGTAGCTCTTGTGGTCCTTGAAAGGGCCCCGAAGGCAAACAGATCAGCATAAATATCTGCCACCCCTTAAGGTAATTCGATAACAATCGTGCTCTTAACATGCTAACTTGAAACCTAGCTAATTACTACGGTAATTACTAAAACACAGCTGTGAATGTGGTGCGCATTTCCATAGTATATTTCATCCAAAAAACGCAATGGGATCAAATTAACACACGAAGATAGCCGTGCTGCTGGTAGATCCTAGTACGCCCATTTCATACTTTGGTTGGGTCTGTCACGCCCACCAACAAGGAAGGAACAATCACTACAATAACTACATCAAACAGTTTATATGACATGTACCGTTTAACAGGGTCCCCTCCCCTTCCTTCACACAACCTCCCACAAAAGCCATGAATTTGGAGCCCAGTTGCGATAAAAGTCACCGCGGCACAGGGACAGGGATAGCTCAGGTTGAAATTGTTCCTCTAGGGGGGGCATGGATGGATGCGTCTATGGCTGAACATTTTCGTGCCGCATATGCCTATCCATCTAGTCTGGCTGGCACCGCAAAGCAAACTAAAAGGTTGAATCACGAGTTGTACCATAAGAGCGTTAAGTTGCACTAGTACTTTAGATGAATAAAATAATAAACTGCACGAGCGCACAACCCACTCAAGCTACCAGTACGGGCATGGGGTACCGCACTATACAGTACTGTTAGAAAGCAGGCCGAAGCAGTGAGAAACCAAACGAGAAGAAACAATAAACGTCCAGCAAAGGATGGCCGCTGAAAGAAGGCTGTTCATGCCCCTCACACAGGCCCTAATAGACTAATTGATTCGCTGTTCCAGTCATGATGAGCCTTGAGCTTCGCAACACGCCTCCTCGTCTCTGGCGACGGCATATCCACCGAGTTCTGCCGTCTCGGGGGCGGCGTCGGCACAAACTTGGGAGAATTTTCGCTACTGCCCGACCACACGGGCAGCTCCTGCTCGAGGAGCTTGGAAAAATCGTCCACCACAGGGCAGTCGGAGAAGCGGCGAACGTGAACGACTGCACTGAACGACACGCGTCGTGCATGCCTGGATGGCTTCGGCGATGGCTTTTGCATGAGGTCAGGCGCGGTGAGGCAAGTCGCAAGACCAGCAACCGTGGGACTCAGGCTCCTGGCGCCGCATTGGGACTCCCTGCTAGGGCTCCTGGAAGGGCTCCTGCTAGGGCTTGTGCTCCCCACTGCAGTGCTGGTGGGTGGGTTGCGGTCCGGGCTGGTGCGCTCCGGCTGGCGAGAAGCTGGAGCAGGCAGGGGGACGTCTCTGCCCGGGACTGACGAGCTTCGGAACATGCGGCGGGACGAAGCGGGGGAATGAGGAGGCGGTGTGTGGGGGGAGGGGCCGTGGGTGGGGTTCACAGGTGCTGCTTGAATTGCTGACTGAGTCGCTGCCTCCAGCTTGATAGGAGCGGTGGTGCTGGCCCGAATGTGATGAGCTGGCATCACAGCTGAAGCAGGGGAAGCGCCACTGGATCCGCGCTGCTGGTGATACCGCTGAACCTCCATGAGAGACACGGAGTGTCTACGTGCGTGCCTAGGAGCCTCAGGCGGCCGCCGCTGATCCCCGCTGGACACACCGCGGCCGCTGACGGCACAACTGCTACTTCTGTTGCCGACAAACGTTGCGTTCCGCGCTGCGGGGTTCCCCGGGCTGGCCGCGGAAGCGCCTCCGCCTCGTCGCTGCATGATGAGCAGCCGGTCGCTCGTCATCGACCGATGCAGGCGCGACGCCGAAGTGGTCGGAAGCGGAGGATGCGCCGCAGCGCCCGCGGGACCCGCGGACGAGAACGCTCCGCGCGAGGCCGTTGCGGATGACGCCAGGGATGTAGCAGCTGCAGCCGGCGACGGGGTTGTAGCCGGCGAGGCTGCTACAGCCGAGGAGAAAAAGTTGGGGGTGCTGACGTGACGGCAGGAGGCGAGAGGGGAAATCGCGGTATTGTCGCCACTGTTGCTCATTCCGCCGCTGCTACTGCTCGTGCTGCTGCAAGCACTTCCGGTGCTCCATGGGGAAAGAATGCTGCTCGGACTACTATCCGTGTTCGCGCTGCTACCAAAAGTTTTAGCAGCCGCGTCGCTGAGCGACGACCACTCCTCCGTCGTCAGCTCCTTCGTGCGACGCCAGCGACAGGATTCGCCCGTCGCGGCCGTGCCGTCCTCGCTGAACCGCCTCCCCGAGCGACTGACGGATGTGCGACGGATAGGCGCGTGCTGAGCGATGATCGAGCTCGCAATCGCAGAGTCAGCGTTCGCGCTTCTCGCGCTGCTCTCGCCTTCAAGGCAACCCGCGCGCTTCGCGGTTCCCGTGTCGGGCGTAGTAAGAGAAAAAAGTTTCGCGGAGGAAGCCTCCCATGAATCCAAGGCGATTCGGGATGTCGGCGCGGCGGGGGTTTTGCGGGAAGGAGCCGTCAGCGCGCGACGAACCCCGACGCGTTCCTTCGCCAGCTGCTGACCGTAGCCGATGCTGGTGGTGAATTCAGCGGCGGAGACGGGGGAGGCGTCGCTGTTGCGAGCCGCGAGGAGCGACTCAAGGCGGAGTGGCGCATCGAGATGCCAGCTACGCCGCTGCCAGAGCTGTTGCTGCTGCTGCTGCTGAAGTTTTGAATCTGGATCTTGCGCAATATGCGGAATGAACGGATAGTGATCTGCAGCCGTTGCTCGCGCGGTGTCCTCGGCGGCGGCGCGATCCGTCAGAAACGGACCTTGTGTGTCCATTTGGACGAAACACATGATATACTAAGAGATAGATCTGGAGTATAAGCAGATTACGACACCTGCGATAATCTTCGCGAAGAATTAAAGACGATTCCCGAGTTAAGGAATGAACCGTGTGAGAGAGGTAGAGAAGCGTGAACCTTTCGGGGATGTTGGAGAAAACGAACACTGCATTGAACAGATGTGCTGAGCGACGACGCGGCGCTATTGTTGCATTGAACAGATGCGCTAAGTCGAGATATGCTCGAGAATTTGAAGGTCGGATGTTTGGATGGTGCAGGATGGGTTGGGCGAGCGGGAAGAGGTGAAAGGGGGGCGGGGAAGGATGGGGGCTGGGAGCACGCGGGCCGCAGAGAAGATTCGGCAGGCGATTTTGAGTGGCACGAGTGCCTCACGAGTCACGAACAGCACGGCGGAACCAGCGGAATTGTGCGGAGCGGAGACCTGCGCAGCGAGCTACTGAACGGAACGGAATAGACGCGGAGGTTTGGGCTGATCTGCTTTCTTGAGTTCGACGCGTTTTGGTCATAAATTACAGCCAGTACACCATGACTGGGAGTGGGAAATTCTGTAACGAGGGAGTAGAAAAGTTGGCGACAGATTGTATGCTGCAAGCAGAAACATTCTTCCTGCCCGGAGATGCTAAAATTGTGCAGATTTTCGCAACAATCGAGGGTGGGGAGGAGAGAAAGTGCAGCGCAGGCAGGCCTTTCCCGCGGGAAAGTGTACTGTACCTGTGCCAGCTGGGGCATCCCTGGCCCGGCATGATGCATCATTATAATCCTCGGTGTCCGTTCCATACCAATCATTTCATCTCGTTGGGTGTAACGTATACCACCGTCGGTTCGGTTCGGTACAAACTCGTTCGGGCCAGGTTCGCGAGTCTGACATAGGCTTCTGCGGGTCGGAGATTCGCGGGGGGGATGAGCGAGAAGTCGTTGGGATTGTGGGGTTGAAAGGGGTGGATGGACTTTTGGTGAAGTGATTGTCTGGGAAGCTTGTGGCGGTGGCCTTGGCTTTGGCTGGTCGCCTTCTCTGTCTCTTTCCCCACCTCCCTCCCACCCGATGGTCTGTGGTTTGTCAATTTGTACACAACTGGGTGAAATGGGTCATTTGTGCACAACACAAGACGAGACGAGACGAGAGTCCTCCTGGCCGTGGGCTGGTTCGGCAACTGGCCACATCAGGAGGGAGGAATCGACTTCCGCGGAAGTAAACGACGAATTGCATGCATTGCATTGTGTCCTCCTGGACGACAGGCGCATGCATGCTGACATGAGCACCGATTTGTCTATCATACGTCATTGACGTGCCATTATGAAGCTCCTCCAGCGAAGCACCGCCATCGTGGTTGCGGGAATTTCGCCACCAAACTGTGCAGGTTCGACGTTTTTACGATGGAAACCACCTGCGTGAATCTTTGCCCTTGTCGTCCTACTACGATGTGAGTGAACCAACCTTACAGAACACTTACTTAAGTTCACGGCCCGAGCCGGGACCATGCATGTGTCTGCAACCTGCTTGTGTGCTGTCGGATGGATAGGAGTGGAACGGGTGCGCTTACTAGTAGGCCATCGTCCAAATGGGCCATCAATTGTTCAAAATAAGCGCGAACGACATTTAGTTGAGTTTGTTTTCCACAGTTACGACTGTATTTTGATTGTATGCACTTGCCCTTTCGATGTATTTTCTTAATTTTAATATTATGTTGAGTGTTTTTTACCTCAGTATAGCCTTGAGTGTTATTACAGTACCCACCAGTATGTGAAAAGAATAACCAGTTTACACTGCAGAAACCGAAGTTGTTGGATGGCATTCTTCTGCACGAACCGTCAGGCTCACTGTTTACATTTTGCACGGTGAACGAATCTTGGATACCCTTGAAGAATCAGATATGCTGATGTAATGAAACCAAAATCAGCCGACGCCAAGCAAACCAACCAACCTCCTCTTCGCTCTCTATGACCTTGGCTGGACAACTTCAGCTCCGTATAACCTCATGTTGCAGAACAGCTCATTAGCATACTCCGTATAACGGATCATATGCATAAACCTGTAAAGTCGTGTTTGTGCTAGGAAACAGAACGATGCATAATCACGATCATTTAACTAATGGAATATACGGTAGGTACAAGCTGGATAATGACCTTTTCCTTCGTTGTTAACTTAGTCGAGAACGTATGTCTCATCCATCCATCCATCTGCGCCATAATTACAAGAGGGTAAATTACATTAAAGTCCATGTTTCAACAAGTTTTCAAGTATGGTTCTTCGATTCACATGTTGCTCGCTCGCAGGCTTGCTGCTGCAAATGCCATTGTGGCATTGCGGCGAGTGATGTTTGCAGTTGCTGATCCCTCTTCACCACCGGCCTTCAACTTGTACTTGGTCAAATACTACCGTATGCACTCCTTCATTCTGCTGGAGCCTTCTGCTGCCGCCTCTGCCATTGCTTCTTATTGCTGCTCCCCCTGCTCATTTTCCTAGTCCTGCAGCTACTTCTGCCATTCCTGCTCGTGCTCCTCCATTCCCATTCGCTGTTGCTTCTGCCCCAGTGCCCACTGCATCCCTACACACCATAGCATCCGAACTCTTACGCTCCCCCTGTTTGCCATTGCTGCTGCTAAGTTCGGTGATCGTCCGAACCTGCACCATCGAGTTGAAAGACACCCGCCGCTTGTGCCCAGGCTCGGCCACAGGTCCGGGACAAGCCTTGGGAACAGGCTGAAACAAGCCCGAGCCATTCGGGGATGCAGCAGGGTCAGAGGGAAGGGAAGGATCAGAGGGGAAGGAGGGATCAGAGGGAATGGAGGGAAGGGATGACGGTGAGAAGAGGGTTTGACAGGCATTGAAGCTGCTGTGTTGCTGCAACCGGGGCGACTGCTGCCGCTGCTGCCGCCGCTGCTGCTGCTGCTGCTGCTGCTGCTGCTGCTGCTGCTGCTGCGGCTGCTGCGGCTGCTGCTGCTCGCGCTCCTTCCGACGCACCTTCTCCCCTGCCCCCTTGCCCCTTCTCACCCTCTCCCCTGCCCCCTTGTCTCCTCTCCCCCTCTCCCCCTCATCCCCCTCCCCGTCTAGCTCCAATAGGCTGGGCAGGTGCGGACTGTTCACGTCTACCCATGGCTCATGATATCCCTGGTACTGTTCATGATGACCCGGGTACTGTTCATGATGACCCTGGTACTGTTCATGATGACCCTGGTACTGTTCATGATGACCCTGGTACTGTTCATGATGACCCTGGTACTGTTCATGATTGCCCCGGTACTGTTCAAAATCACAAGATTGGTACTGTTCAAAATGGCTCTGGTACTGTTCATCCTGCTCCCACTGCTTTGCTGACCTGGCAACAGCCGACCGCACTCGAGGCGAGGCCAGCGCTCGCACAACCAGGCTGTTGCGAATGCCAGTACGATCAACGGTGCCGCCAGTAGCACTGCTGGTGCTAACATTGCTGGTGCTGGCATTGCTGGTAGCATCGCTGGCAACAGAAGCAGAGCGCACTCGAGGCGAGGCCAGGGCTCGCACAACCAGGCTGTTGCGAACGCCGGTAATATCAACGGTGGCGCTAGTGACATCGATTCGCCTGCTGCTGCTGGCAGCATTGCCGCTGGCAGCATTGCTGCTGGTAGTCGCATTGCTGGTGGGAACACTGCTGGTATTATTTGAGGCAGAGCGCACTCGAGGCGAGGCTAGGGCTCGCACAACAAGGCTGTTACGAACGCTGCTGACGTCAAGGGTGCCCGTGGTAACAGCAATTCGCCTGCTGCCGCTGGTAACATTGCTGGTAGCAGAGGCAGAGGCAGGCGCATGCACTGCAGGAGAAGTAGCAGAAGCAGTTGGATCCGAAGGAGGTGTGTGCAGTGCAGCAGGTGCAGCATACAGGTCACCAAACCTGTAGGCATTCAGGTCATGGGATGCGCTTTGCACCGCACAGAAGTCATCCGAAACCCTCTGCACCGCACCCAGAGATGCCACTTTCCGGAGAACCCGGGGGCGGGGTCGCAGGGACAAAGGGGGCTGACCTAGAGGGAGATGGGCGGAAGGAGAAATGGCAGGGGGAGCAGTTGCGGAGGTATCAGCCAGTAGAGGTCCCTGCTGCTGTCGCACGTTGGGAGCAGGGGGAGCAGCAGGGGGAGCAGCAGGGGGAGCAGCAGGGGGAGCAGCAGGGGGAGCAGCAGGAAGAATGGCAGGAAGAGTAGCCGTGGCAGTATCAGAGAGTAGAGGTCTCCTGAGCATGTGGGGATTAAAGGCTCGGGGACTGGGGTTGTGGACACGCGAAAAAGATGCAGAAGCGGGAAAACCGGGAGGAGAAAGGAGAGGAGCAGGGGGAGGAGCAGGGGGAGTTGATGTGGCAGTATCCGATATAAGCTGTTTAACTGTTGCACCATCATCCCCTATAACACCCTCTCCCTCTCCCCACTCTTCCTCCTCTTCCCACTCTCCCTCCTCCTCACACTCTCCCTTCAACCACTCTTCCTCGTCTTCCCACTCTTCCTCCTCTTCCCACTCTCCCTTCAACCACTCTTCCTCCTCTTCCCACTCTCCCTTCAACCACTCGCCCTCTTCCCCCGTAACTAAATCATAGCAGGTGCCTTCGCTTCCACTGTTCAGGTCTGTAAGAGATGCCCTCCTGACACATGCCCCTGCTTCCCCTCTCCCCTCTTTCTCTCTGCACCATTGCCTCCCTCTCACCACATCTGCTGTATGGGAACGTCGAAGGCCCCGCTCCTGCCCCGCTTCCCTCATCCCTCCTCTCCCTCCCCTCTCCCCTTCCCCTCCCTTCCCTCCCCTCCCTCCTCTCCCTCCCCTCCCTCCTCTCTCTCCTCTCCCTCCCCTCCCAACTCCTTCCCTCCCTCCTTCCCTACCCTCACCTCTTCCCCTCCCGTCGCCTCTCCCTCTCCCCATACCTCTGCCCCTCCCCACTTTACTTCGCCTCCCCGTTCCCCTTCCTCCGTAATCCTCCCCCCTTAATCTACCCCCATTCCCTCCCTCTCTTCCCTCCATCCCTTGCTCTTCCATCTTCTCCTCTCTTCTCCCACTCATTCCCTCACCCCATCCCCCCCTTCCCTCTTCCCTTCTCCCACTTCCCCCCTCCCCCCTTCCCTCGTCCCTTCTCCCACTTCCTCCCTCCCCCCTCCCCTCACCCCCTCTCCCACGTCCCCTTTCCACAGGCATACTCAATGCACGGGCCATTCGCCTCCTCTCACACCAACCACCCCTCCCTCCTCTCCCTCTACCCACTCCTACTTCCCTCTCCACCCCTCTCCCTCTACCCCCCTCCACTCCCTTTTCTCCACCTCTCCCTCCCCCTCCTCCTCGTCCTTCCCCCCTCCCATATCCCCCACCCCTTCCCCCTCCTCTCTCCGCCACCTCTTCTCTCCCTCCTCCGCCTCTTTTCCACCCAGTATCAACTACCCTCGTCTCCACCACCCCAGCAGAAGCAGGTCGCGCACTTCTAAGTGTCACTCTTAGGCTCTCCACTCGTCCAAGCCCATTTGACCTGCCCCCATTCCCAGCAGCAAGAGCAGAACCAGGCCGTTCACCCCTAAGTGTCACTCTTAAGCTCTCTGCTCGTCCAAGCTCGTTCGCCCTGGTCCCATTCCCAGCAGAAATAGCAGAACCAGGCCGTTCACCCCTAAGCATCACTCTTAAGCTCTCTGCTCGAGCGAGCACCTGCGCTCTACTCACACCAGAGGGGGCCCCTACCTTAGCCACTCCTTGCTCTAATTCATTCCACTTGCCCTCACTCCGCATTTCAACCTCCCCACAGCTACCCCTCCTCTGCAGCCTCCTGCCACTCCCTGGTCTTTCCTCTGTACCTTCCCTTCCATCCCTTCCATCCCTTCCATCCCGCATTTCAACCTCCCCACAGCTACTCCTCCTCTGTAACCTCCTGCTGAACCCTCGCCTTTCCTCTGTACCTTCCCTTCCATCCCTCCACATTTCAACATCCCCACAACTCCCCCTCCTCTGCAGCCTCCTGCTTCCCCCCTTCTCTCTCACCCCTTCCCTCTCTCGCCTTTCCTCTGACCCTCCTCCCTTTCCTCTCTGCATTTCAACCTCCCCACAACTCCCCCTCCTCTGCAGTCTCCTGCTCCCTCGCTCCTCTCCACCCATGTCCCTCTCTCCCCGCTCTCCTCTCTCTCCCCTCCCGCCCCTCTCTCCCCGAATGTGCTGTCCTGCACTGCTTGTTTCAGGCAGATCAAAGCCCACCTTCCCGTTCCTCTCCTGCACACAATGCACCCGCCTGTGATCACCTGTCGTGTTTGCTCTTCTCAACACTCGCCCTTCCCCATTACTTCCCCCGTCTGCCCCGTCCCCTTCGATCCCCCCCCTTGCCCCTGACCTTGTCCCTGCCCCTTCCGCTGACCCCTTAACCCCCTCCCTTCTTCCACTGCCCCTCTCTCTCCAACCCCTCTCGTCATCGCTCCCTCCCCCTTCACACTCCTCCCACTCGCTCCTCTCCCTCCTCCCCATAGTCCTTGCCCCTCTAGCCACCTTACTGAGCCACACACTCCCCTCTCCCTCCTCCCTCCTCCTCCCCATCATCCCTTTTCTCAACCCACTCAGCCACCCACCCCTCCCATCAGTGCAACTCATCTCACTGCCGCCCAACTCACTTCCAGCCAAATCACTGCCGCCCATTTCACTGCCGCCCAAGTCACGACCACCAGCCGCTGCATTTGCAAGACCATTATCCCCCTCTGATGCTTCCACTTCCTCTAACTTCTCCCATTTACCTTCCTCCTGTTCCACCTTCTCCCCTCTTTTGAGGCGCCTCAAAAGTCCTTCCTCCTGTTCCACCTTCTCCCCTCTTCCTTCTCCCTCACCCCCCACACCAACACGTTCTGCATCTCCTGCCCTCTCCGCCTTCCTCCCCGCTTCCTCTTCCTTCGCCTCCCTCCTCTCCTCCTCTCTACTCTCCTCATCCCTCCTCTTCTCATCCGTCCTTTCTTCTCCCTTCACCTCTCCCCCTTCCTCTCTCCCACCCTCCTCCCCACCCTCCTCCTCCACACTATGCGTCCTCACAGGCCCCCCACCAAGCCCACACACGCGCAGCATACCCAGGGAAGCAAGAATACGGGGCGAGATCAACGAATCACTCCGGGCCCTAAACCTCATCCCTCTCTTCCTCCCCTCTCCCTCGTGCCCGCGGCTCTTCCTGTCCCACCCACGGGAAGCAAGCACGCGAGGAGAGAGAAAGTCGTTTCTCTTGCTCTCGTGACCGCTGCTCTTCTCGTCAAAGCCAGGTGAAGCAAGGATATGAGGCGAGACTAGGCTACTAGCCTTCCTCTCATGCTCTTCCTCTATGCTCTCAATGGAAAAATCTTCACTTCTCTTCTTCTCATCCTGGGCCTCTCCCGAAAATTCGCTTCTGCTCCTTTCATGCCTGCTCCCTCTCTTGCTGCTTCCGGTGAGGCTTCCGAACCTGCTGTGCCCGAACCTGTTGCTGCCGAACCTGCCGCTGTTGCCGAAGCTGACACCACTGCTGCTGCCAGGGCTGCTGCTGGCGCCGTGGCTATTGGGTAGGTGGAAACATGAAGGAGCAGTATCAGCAGCAGCAGTAGCAGCAGCAGCAGAAGCAGAAGCAGAAGCAGAAGCAGAAGCAGAAGCAGCACCACCACGACCATTGTCACTTTCAGCATCAGCTAAATCAGCATCTGAAGTACTACCACCAGAGGCAGCACCTGCATTCGCTTCCTCCCCACTTTTTGCACCGATAGGTTTCTCCTCTTCCCCAATCCCCACTTCGCCCCCTCCCTCCTCCTCCTCCTCCTCCTCCTCCTCCTCCTCCTCCTCCTCCTCCTCCTCCTCCTCCTCCTCCTCCTCCTCCTCCTCCTCCTCCTCCTCCTGCTCCTCCTCTGCTGCTTCCTCCTCTCTCTTCACTCCTGCTTCCCCTGTCCCCCCTTCCTTCCTTTGCCACTGGCCCTCCCCCTCTTCCTCCTCCTCCTCCTCCCCATCATCAGCAGCAGCACCATCAGCAACATAACCATACTGGTTACAAACGTGGTTACCAGAATTCGTTACACCAATATATTGACCAGGTGCCTGCAGCATGGGAGGGTCAGGAGACTCAGGGGCTTCAGGTGCTTCAGGTGCTTCAGGTGCTTCAGGTGTTCTTCGCAGTGATGCGGGCGAGTCAGGTGGGACAACGCGAGCGGCAGAGCCGTCAGGTGCTGCTGCTAGCTGTGATGCGGAGGAGAAGCCAAATGTACCAACCAGGTGGGATCTGGGGGAGGGTGATACGGTCTGAGGCGCCTCAAGGTTTGCTGCAAGCAGGTGGGGTCTGGGGGAGGGTGATATGGTGTGATGGAGGTGGTGGGGGAATGACATTTGAGGCGCCTCAAGGTTTGCTGCAAGCAGGTGGGGTCTGGGGGAGGGTGATATGGTGTGGTGGTGGTGGGGGAGGTATGGCAGGGAGGCAATCTGAACCACCATGCTAGCTCCATCATCCTCCTCCTCGCATTCCTCCTCTTCTTCTTCCTCCTCACATTCCTCCTCCTCCTCCTCCTCCTCCTCCTCCTCCTCCTCCTCCTCCTCCTCCTCCTCCTCCTCCCACTCTCCTCCTTCCACCTCCCCTTCCTCTTCCTCCTCTTCCCCTCCCCACTGTCTGTGTGCCACGTCACAGCCTGGGAACTCCTCTTGATCTCTAAACTGATGACGTGGCGAGACAAGAATTCGGAGGAGGGGAGAGTCTGGGGGAAGGGGGGAGCGTGGGGTTAGGGCGGAGGGAGTGAGGGACGGATGAGTGAGCGAGTGAGGAGTGAGGGAGTGGGGAGGAGTGAGGGCGGAGGGAGTGAGAGAGAGAGGGTCATCCTGCGATGGCAAAAGGTGGAGACTGAGAGTGCATGCCGCCTTCTTCACACACCGCTCTCCCCCCTCCTTCCCCTCCTTCCCTTCTTTCCCCTCCCTCCCCTCCTTCCCCCCCTTCCCTTCCTTCCCCTCCCTCCCCTCCTTCCCCTCCTTCCCTTCCTTCCCCTCCTGCTCCTCCTGCTCTCTGCACACCGAATCCACGTTACAAGATTCTTCCATATAACCACCTGTCCCTGTATTACACTTCCTTCCATCCTCACTCTTCCCCTTGTACTCCTCCTCCTCCTCCTCCTCCTCCTCCTCCTCCTCCTCCTCCTCCTCCTCCTCCTCCTCCTCCTCCTCCTCCTCCTCCTTCCCTTTCCTCCTCCCTTTCTTCCTCCTCCCCTCCCTCACCACACTCACTCTACACTCATCAGGTGTAACATCCACCCACTCACTCACAAATACCTCCCCACCCCTCTCTCGATTTAAGCACCCTCGATTTAGCAACACACCCTCCTCCCCAACACTACCAGCATCAATAAAACCTCCCACACTCCCAGCCCTCCTCATTTTCCCGAGCCTCCACTGAAACTTCAACCCGCTGCCTCGGCCGAGGCTGCCATTCCCGAACCTACCGCTCCCCCCAGTACCGAACCTCGAGAGGCTGTCGCTACCGAACCTAGGAACGCCCCGTCTGCCGAGCCTGGCGAAGCTGCTGCTGCCGAGCTTGAGAATGCCACTGTTACCATCGCCACGCCCCCCCTCTACCTCATAATTGCCCCAATTGTTTCCGGTATTCATAAAAAGGTTAGTATGAGTGTCATAATCAATAACGATGTCATTATTGCAAGGGCTCCCATGGCCGGGTGAAGAACTAGGCCGAACCAACTGCTGCTGCTGGTTCTGAACCTTTTCAGAAAGCCCGTCAGCTGTCATGCTGCGAATGTCATCCGAAGCCTGCCGCCCGCTTTCCTGCCGCCCGCTCTTCTGCCGGCCGGCGAATGCACGTCCTGCACTCTGTATGAGCCGAGCTGTTGCCCGTTCCTTCCTGGTGAGCTTACCAGCAGCAGAAGCAGGAGAAGCACCAGCAGCAACAGCAGCACCGGCAGAACCAGCAGCGGCAGCGGCAGCGGGAGCACCAGTGGCAGCGGCAGCGGGAGCAGCGGTGGCAGCACGGGTAATGGCTTGGTCAGCATGGCAATCCCCGAGGGAATCGTTTTGACAAGCTTCGATCCACGCAAGATCCATACCGTCCACGGCCTCTGCACCGTCCACAGCTCGATCTGCACCGTTCACGGCTCGATCCACCCCGACCGCTGCTGCTCGATCTGCACCGTCCACTGCCGCTCGATCTGAACCGTCCGCTAACGGTCCAAACACCCACAGCCCAGAGCCGTCACCATCGCCTTTGCCTTGAGATAACTGCAACGACCCTTTGCCATGACCGCGATGACTCAACCGCGCAGACTCTTTACTTTCGGTCGGCCGCAACGAGCCGTCGTTCCTAAGAGCTTCACTCCATGCTCCATGCTCCTTAGGATCCATATCTTTTGAACCGGACGTGCCACTGTTTAACGTGGCCATTGCTCCGTGATACTGCATCCCTGCTGCTCCTTCGGCTCTCCCTTTTCCCTCCCCTCCTGCCTCTTCCTCCCCTCCTCCTGCTCCTCCCCCTCCTTCCACTCCTTCCATTCGCTCTCCCATCCTACCTTCCCCTGTTCCCGCTCTTATCCCCTCTTTATCCGCCGCCTTCCCCGCTTCTCCCAGTTTCACACCCCTTTTTCCAGTTCTCTTTCTCCCCCTTGCTATCCCCGCTTCTTCCGCCACATCTGGCGGCGGAAAGGGCAGCTCCGCGTCGCCGCTTGTTAACTGCGCCCTTCGAAGCGCGCTCGTCGGCTTCCTGCTTCGATACGCGTCCCCCTGCGCGGGCCGCCACGTGGCACCCGGCGATTGGCTCGTGCTGCTGCCCAAGGAAACACCCGCCTGACTGTGACTGCCGTCGGGGGAAGGAGCACCGGGGGAAGCGGGAAACGGCGCGCGCGGGGAGGAGAAATCGGGGGAGTGCGCAATGGCGGAGGGTGCGCTGGCGGAAGGTTGCGCGCCGGGGGATGGCGCGGCATGAGGGGAGAATGCGCGGGGGAAGGGGGAACAGGGGGAGGGTCCGGGGCCGGGGCTGTTAGGGTGCGTATTGGCGGAAGGGCCAAATGCAGAGGGTTTTCTGCGCGCGGGCGCGGCGGGGGAGCGTACTGGCGGAGCGGTGGGTCGCGGGGAGCGCACAAAAACCTCCGCGAGAGCTTCCGCGGGGTCCGACAGGGAGGGCTGGGCGGCTTGCGGAGGCGCAAGGGGGGACCGGCGGGGGGCGGAACGGCGGCGGGACGACGGGGAACGCGGACTCGGGGGAAGTTCGATGTGCAAAGCGGAGGCTGGTGCGCGGATTGAGGGATGCGGTGCTTGCGACGTCATTTGCGACGGCGCTTGCGACGAAATGTGCGGGGATATTTGCGACAGAGCAACCAGCGATTGCTGCGAGAGGAGTGAGCGCGGGAAGTGCGCTGAGCTCAATGAGTGCGCAGGGGGAAGCGGGGGAGGGGGGGGAGGAGGGGGGGGGAAGGGGGGAGAAAGGGGGGGAGGTTTGCGCGGAGAGCGGGGGAAGTACGCCACCGAATGTATGGATTCCGGACAGTGCCGTTTATGAGGAGATTTCACCCCCCACTTATGCACACGAGACCAGCGACGCGCGCCGCGGTGCTCGTCTCCCCAATTCGCCCAATCCGCTCTCCGCCTGCTCAGGAATCCTTAAGGGAACGCGGGCCCAGCAGCCCTTTACAGGCCGTTAGAGTCCCGCTATTCATCCCTGCAAATCGTTTCGCACAATGGTTCGCCGGAATTCAGCGCAGCTAGCTGAGGAATCAACCTATTGACAAGCTGACCGGACTAGGAGTTAGTAGCATTAGGTCTAAGATACCAAATTCAGCTAGGAGGTTACCAAAAACTTGTCGCTCGACGTTAGTGAACCTACAGTGCATCGACACGTGGCAGCAGGGTTTGCTGCAAGGAGTTCCCAAGCGGAGGGTTAGTGTTTTCTCCTGGGTTCACTAAAAATCACCCCCCAAAAGAAGACGACGTAGTGGAAGAAGCAGATAGCTTACGCGATTAGCTTATTCTGGTGCTATCTCCGAGCTTCCTCGTGTAAATACTTTACGTAACCCGTCGATTGCGGCTTGTGCTCTGTTTGTGTGGAACGGTCACCTCGTTCTCAAAAGGACGTCGTCGGAGAACGGATCAGAAATGTAGTCCGCGTCGTTCTCAAGTGCAGGTCGTTTTGTAAAGCGGTTCTGCTTGAGTGCACTCTTATGGGACTTATTGAGGCCGATGCAGCAACGATGTTTGAGCTGCACTGAATTTACACTACGAAATTAGGTACTCGCGTTTACGGATGACTCTGAAAAGAACCCTGTTTCACTTTCGTTTTCTTGTAAATTCAAGGAATGCGTCTTTCCGGTCACTGTTTCGAGTGTTCGTGTCACGTGACATTCCTTCGACGCTGTACTGTACCTGCCGTGCCGTCGCGCTGCTTTCCTTGGCCCATGCGCGTTTCAAAGGGATGCATTTGTTGGAACCTCTTTTGTCGGATCCAGTTCTAGCGCCCCCAGCAGGCCACTCTCTGTCAGACTTCGTGAGAGTGCTGCGTCAACATGCTACAGTATGGATGACACCGACGCCCTGGAAGCTGCCCCATCAAGACACGATCTCTCGCATGACAACGACAGCTTGACTTTCCAAAAGAATTTGTGCAGAATACCCCTTAACTATGAGAATAGTGATCGATGTAGCCCCTTTCGATGAAATCGCTCGGAAGAATCAAAAGGCCCGAGCCAAAAGGCGAGTTGAAGGTTGTAAACGGGGTGGCGATTTGTCACAACTGGAATTCACCCTGAATCTCCGTACCGTACCCTTCAGTCTCGCTTCGGAGTTACTTGTATCATCAGATACGATGAACCCTTCTCGCCTCCACCCGCCTCCTTTGTCGGCGAGTGACAAGCGAAAGTCGTTGACTTTAAAATTAATCAAAACTGTATATAAAGGCTCGTTGACTTTCGCATAAACGAAAGTACTGTATCCCTAACAGCATAGATGTTTCGAAGTAAAATTGGAATAATTGCAGTGTGATGTAAACGAGGGGGGCGCAACTGTGTTCCGTTCATAAGCAACTTCGACATGGTTACATGTATCGACATATCTTTTTTTCAGAAAGAACTAGATGAAGAAATTAGCGATGTCTCCTAGTTCGTGCACTATTGTTCCATCCAATCCCACCAAGTGCGCGCATTTCCCAATTAGCCGCTAATCGCAGGGCTCGCTTGAAGAAGCCGCAGCCATTGTAGACTAACTCGCCAATGCTGGCTATCCGCGATGCAAGCTGCCTCGACATTAGCTCTGCCGGCGTCGCCCGTGCATGGCTCTGCGATCTGCTGGTCGTACGAGAACCTGCTGGCTGCAGCGTTGGGCCCGCTCGTCGTTATAACGGTTCGCGTCTCTTAACTCCCCGCATGTCGTTATAGCGGTTCGCTATCTTAAATCCCTCTCGTCGCCGTTCTTATCATCAGTCTCGCAACACCCATCTCGTCGTTACCCGCGCCCACTCCTCTTCTCCCCCGTTGTTATCATCGGTTCTCCATGCTGTAGCGTGGCTGCTCGTTTGTCCTGCTCCTCTCCTTGCTTTCCACCCTCTCCGCTTCTCCTGCCCTTTGCTCCGCGGCGAGGGCCATCATAGTCATCCCAGCACGCTCGTTTTCTCAACACCCTACACTACATTGTCTCAGCGCCTTACAAATATGTGAACACGCACAATCTAAGCTGCGAGGATTGTGGGTGTTCTCAGCACCCTATTGTCTCTAGCACGCTCGTTTTCTCAACACCCACAATCTCAGCCCTATTGAATCTAGCACGCTCGTTTTCTCAACACCCACAATCTCAGCCCTATTGAATCTAGCACGCTCGTTTTCTGAGCACCCTACGATACTCAATACCGCATCCTCTCAACACCGCATGTCAGCACCTCACAGCCTTCCGACACCCGGAATCTAGAATCTGAACCCAACACCTAAACTTATGCTCGCATTGCCATTCCCATAGGTTGCCTTTTCATCCTCGTTACAAGAATCTCCCACCAAACACCCAATCACTCCCTCCCCAAGCCCCCTTTTACCTTCCAACTCCTCCTTCTCCCCACTGTCTTTCAGAACCCGGCGAATCTTAAAGGGCCACGTGGCTTCATTCTGTTGCAGCCGTCGGATTCTCTAGATGCCCAGATCAACGGCCACGTGGCTGACTCAGGTTAGCTGAGTACCAAATCTAAGTTACTAGCTATATCCTCATCCTCTCATAACTGTTCTTTGCCATACCCCAGCTACCTCGAGACCTTCCTGCGTTCATATCTTCTGCCTTTCCCCTCTGACCTCCCGTCCGCCCTCCCTTGCCAGATCTACCTGCCCCGGTGCTCACCTCCCTGCGTTCATATCTTCTGCTTTTCGTGTCTGTCCTTTTCCACCAGATCTACCTGCCCCAGTCCTCACCTTCCTGCGCCTCCATGCCAACTCCTCTCTCTCTGTCCGCTCCCTGTCCCAGATGTCTCCTCACCTCTCTGCGTTCATGTCTTTTGCCTTTCGTGTCTGTCCCTCCCGTCCGCCCTCAACTGCCAGATCTACCTGCCCCAGTATGCACCTCCCTGCTGTGTTCATATGTTCCGCGTTTGCCGCCTGTCCCTCTCGTCCGCCCTTCTCCACCAGATCTACCTGCCCCAGTCCTCACCTCCCTGCGCCTGCATGCCGACTCGTCTCTCTCTGTTCGCTCCCTCGCCTGGTCCCCACTGCTGCCCCACTCCATACTGCAACACGGGTACGTACGTACGGCCTTCTATTGACTGCCATTGACTGCCATTGACTGATCCTTATTCGCGCTCTCTGTTCGCTCCCTCGCCTGGTCCCCACTGCTCCCCCACTCCATACTGCAACGCGGGTACAGCCCTATTGACTGTCGTTGACTGCTGTTGACTGATCTGACTGATCTGACTGATCTGACTGATCTGACTGATCTGACTGATCTGACTGATCTGACTGATCTGACTGATCTGACTGATCTGACTGATCTGACTGATCTGACTGATCTGACTGATCTGACTGATCGTTTGGTCCCCGCTCCTACCCCACTCCATTCACCAACGCGGGTACGTACCGCACTCTTGGCTGCAGTTGACTGTTCTTGACTGCAGTTGACTAATCTTGACTCGTCTCTCTCCGTTCGCTCCCTCGCCTGGTCCCCACTGCTCCCCCACTCCATCCTCCAACGCGGGTACGGCCCTGTTGACTGCCGTTGACTGCTGTTGACTGCTGTTGTCTCCGATGCAGTACTGCATCGGTTGTTTTGTTTTGTTTTGTTTTGTTTTGTTTTTCATTATCTCATGAGGCGCCTTTCTGAATACCAGTTTGACGTGGCGATATCAGCAACATGCTCAACACATTGGGTTGCAAAATCCTTTGCGAGAAACCCTGTTGCTTGACTTATCCGTCATTTGTCTTATCCCGCACAGCTCCCTCACGCTTTGTCTGATTCCACTCATTCCCCTCACGTTGTTTGTCTTATTCCATTCCTTCTGCACCCTAAACCCGAAACCCTCCACCAATCACCAGGTGCCAGCTGGCAGTGTGCTCCACGGACGGCCGCCTGAGAGTGTTCAGAGCGCCCGTGCAGGAGGCAGGGTCCAAGTGGATCCAGGTGAGAGCTTGCAGTGGGTTTGTTTCGTTGTCTGAACATACATAACCTCTGAAATGGATGGAATGGAAGTAAGGCCTCCGCACCGCATCCCACCTGTTCAACTTCGACGAATCCTCCACGGATGGCCAGCTGCGAGTGTTCAGAGCGCCCGTGCAAGAGGCAGGGTCCAAATGGGTCCAGGTGAGTTTCCAGGTGAGAGCTTACGATCAGATATTTCAGTTGGGAGGAGCCTAAGTGTAAGAATGACAGCTCCATTCCTCCCATACTGTCTGACCTTCTTGCTGCCGTATCGGAGGGCTTGTTTTAAGATAAGAGGTATTTTATAACAATGTCTGGCCTTCTCACTCGTGCTCACGTGTCATTGTGCGCACAGGTGGCGGACCTCTCTGCCTCTCTTGCTGCTCATTTGAGAGACGTGTGGCAGAGCCAGACATGTGGCAGCAATGAGAAGGTGACACGTGGCAGCGATGAGAAGGTGACACGTGGCAGCAATGGGAGACTGCCACGTGGCAGGGAAGACAAGGGGACACGTGGAACACAGGTGGACAAGAGGAATGGGAGGGACGGCAGCATTGCAGGTGGAACAGGTGGGAAAGGGACACGTGGCACACATGGGAAAAGGACACGTGGCAGCAATCAGAGCGAGCAGGGAAGCTTAGGGAAGGAAGGGGAGGGGGTGGGGAGAGCAGGGAGAAAGAAGAGAAGGGCGGAAAGGTATGGGGAGGTTGCGGAAGGAGGGGAAGATGGGGGAGCCGAGGGGGAAGGCGAGGGGGCAGGGGGGAAAGAGAGTGAAGGCAGTGAGGAGGAGGATGGGGAGGAGGGGGAAGAGTGGGGGGGAGAGGCAGAGGGGGAGGAGGAGGAGGAAGAGGAGGAGTCCGATGAGGAGGATTGGGAAGAGGAGGAAGACGAGAGAGAGGCGGGTAGGAAAGCTGGGAAAGCCGCAGCGGCAGCAGCAGCAGCAGCAGCAGCAGCAGCAGCGGCTTCAGGGGGAGGGGCAAAGAGGACAAAATTTGCCGGACGGGCAGGTCTCAGTCCAGAGGAACCCGGCCAATCGCATTGCATCGCGCCGACCCAGTTTGCCGCCCGGCACAAGCGGTTGTTTGCCACATGTGCAGCGTGGTCCCCACTGATGACGCTGACGTGGCAGATGAACCAGCAATGCACCGATCAAGAGGAGGGAGAGAAAGGGGAGGGAAACGAAGGGGAGGGAAAGGAAGGGGAGGGAAGACGAAGGGACGGGAAGCAGGAGCATGGAATCCCCGTGACCTTCTCATGCCTGGTCTCTGGATCCCAGTCAGGCCACATCTCCCTCTGGCTCCATTCCTTCCCTCCTCACACTCTCTCACTCACTCTCCCTCCTCCTCTTCCTCTTTCTCCTCCTCCTCCCTCCCCTCCACATTCCCCTCCCTCTCCTTGCTCTCCCTCTAACGCCTCGCAATCCAACGGTTCGTGGGCTCTCCTGCGGTCGCTGCGGGCGCATCCTGGCCGTTGGATCACCGCGCTGACGTGGCTGGATGACGTGGCACGTGGGCGTAGTGACGTGGCACTCAAGGAGATGGAAAAGAGAACCAAGGGGAAAGGTAGCAGCAGTCTCAGCAGCAGCAGCAGCAGCAGCAGCAGCGGCAACGGCAGGAGTGATGATAGTGTGAGGTTACTTCTTGTCTCGGGTGCTTCTGATGGGAGGTAGGTGTGCGAACTATGGTGTTTGCCTCCTTCAACTTTGGTTCCCCAAGTTGTTACAATCACGTTCAATACATTGCCTTCCTTAGCCTTCCCCTCCCCCCTCCCCTCTTTCCTCACAAGAAAGTCATCACCTAACTTCCTACCCTCCAGTGTGACTGTATGGCAGGTGACCTTCTCTCTCCCCTCGCTACTGTCACACCCAAGTACAACAGTAACAGCCGATCTCCATCCCTCACACGGCGCCCCCACCCACATATCTGCAATGCACACCACGATAGCACCCCTTTCCAAGGCACGTGTTTTCTAACACCCCTCTCAAAAAGCCATCTCCATCCCTCACACGGCCCCGCCCACATATCTGCACTACACACCAGGATAACACCCGTCTTCAAGGCACGTGCTTTCTAACACCCCTCTCAAAAAGCCATCTCCATTCCTCACACGCCCCCACCCACATATCTGCACTACACACCAGGATAACACCCGTCTCCAAGGCACGTGCTTTCTAACACCCCTCTCAAAAAGCCATCTCCATTCCTCACACGCCCCCACCCACATATCTGCACTACACACCAGGATAACACCCGTCTCCAAGGCACGTGCTTTCTAACACCCCTCTCAAAAAGCCATCTCCATTCCTCACACGCCCCCACCCACATATCTGCACTACACACCAGGATAACACCCGTCTCCAAGGCACGTGCTTACTAACACCCCTCTCAAAAAGCCATCTCCATTCCTCACACGCCCCCACCCACATATCTGCACTACACACCACGATAACACCCCTCTCCAAGGCACGTGCTTTCTAACACCCCTCTCAAAAAGCCATCTCCATTCCTCACACGCCCCCACCCACATATCTGCACTACACACCAGGATAACACCCGTCTCCAAGGCACGTGCTTTCTAACACCCCTCTCAAAAAGCCATCTCCATTCCTCACACGCCCCCACCCACATATCTGCACTACACACCAGGATAACACCCGTCTCCAAGGCACGTGCTTTCTAACACCCCTCTCAAAAAGCCATCTCCATTCCTCACACGCCCCCACCCACATATCTGCACTACACACCACGATAACACCCCTCTCCAAGGCACGTGCTTTCTAACACCCCTCTCAAAAAGCCATCTCCATTCCTCACACGCCCCCACCCACATATCTGCACTACACACCAGGATAACACCCGTCTCCAAGGCACGTGCTTTCTAACACCCCTCTCAAAAAGCCATCTCCATTCCTCACACGCCCCCACCCACATATCTGCACTACACACCAGGATAACACCCGTCTCCAAGGCACGTGCTTTCTAACACCCCTCTCAAAAAGCCATCTCCATTCCTCACACGCCCCCACCCACATATCTGCACTACACACCACGATAACACCCCTCTCCAAGGCACGTGTGCTTGAAACCCTGTGGCATTTCTTAGTAGTGATTCCTCATCCGTCCCCCTATCTTCGTTGCCCTATCATGTGCCTCTTCTTCACATACCATGACTTTTACGAGGTGAGTGTTGTTGTCACGCCTGCTTTAGTGCCTCTTCGTCCCCGCTCCCGTTCCCCTCCCTCTCAGCTCGCCACCCCCAACGGCTCTCCAGTGACCAGCCTGTCGGCTGTTCTGCTCCCACACGCGTCTCATCGTCACCCCATTTCCCGTATCTCTACCTCTCTTATCCCAATCTTCCTTCTCCCCGTTCCCCTCCCTCTCAGCTCGCCACCCCCAACGGCTCTCCAGTGACCAGCCTGTCGGCTGCTCTGCTCCCTCGTTCCATTCCAACGGGTGTCTCATCCTGCCCTCTCCACGGTGCTTCTAACCTTGACGACGCTGCTGCTGCTGCTGCTGCTGCGCCAGCAGCACCACGAGAAGCAGCAGCAGCACCTGCAGAAGCAACACCAGCAACAGCAGTTGTGGTGGTGGGAGCAGGGTGTGCGTCAGGGCAAGTAGTGGCATGGTGGCTGCGGTGGGGAGAAGCGGGGATGAGAGGGGGGCAGGGGAGGGGGACAGGGGGACAGGGGGGAGGCGGAGCTGCAACAGGGGGGAATATTAGCAACAATGTGGAACCGGTGGGGGGAGTGGAGAAGAGGGGAAAGAGGAAGGGGATTGGAGGAGTGGATGGGTGGGTGATGGGGGGAGGATGGGCAGATGCACATGCAGCAGCGGTGACAGGGGTGCTGGTGGTGGTGCCAGGCATGGGATTATCAGTATCGGCAGCTCTCTACTCCTGCTCGCAGGTAAGCTCGTAGGTGGGGGTGGGCTAAACGCACATGCAGCAGCTGTGACAGGGGTGCTGGTGGTGGTGCCAGGCATGGGGCTAGCAGCTCTCTACTCCTGCTCCCAGGTAGGCTTGTAGATGTGGGGGGGGGGCAGGCAGTGGGTGTGTGGGGGAGGGGAGAATGGCGCATGCAGCAGCGGTGACAGGGGTGTGCTGGCAGGGGGGCGAGGCATGGGACTAACAGCGCTCTACTCCTGCTCCCAGGTAGGCTTGTAGGTGGGGGCATAGCCTCTTAATTCCTGCAGATGGTGGGTGTGTGGGCAAGGGGAGAAAGGTGCATGCAGCAGCGGTGACAGACTGATGGTGGTGGGGATGAGAGGCATGGGACTAGCAAGCAGCTCTCTGCTCCTGCTCCCAGGTAAGTAAGCTTGTAGGTGCGGAAGCCAGTGGTGGGTGCATGATGGGGGGAGGATGGGCAGATGCGCATGCAGCAGCGGTGACAGGCTGATGGTGGTGGGGATGAGAGGCATGGGACTAGCAAGCAGCTCTCTACTCCTGCTCCCAGGTAGGCGATTCTCTGTTTAGGGGAAAGGCCTCCCATGTAATGAATGACCCAGCCAGGTGCTTTTCCTCAGTATGCTATGCTCCCATGTATGCTTTTCTTCATCAGTGCGGTGCAGTCGCTGTCAGTAGCGGACAAGTGGGCTGCGGAGGTCTTATGTCCATCAACTTGAGTGGTTCTTAGAACGACGGACCACACCCCATGAAATGAATGAAGAGATAAGCCCGTTAACTGTGAGCTAGAAAGTTTTCTTTAGAGAGCCAGAATGAACAGATCGTCAGCTTAATATCAGTGCCCTCCAGTCATGGCCCACCCACGCGTACCCTTGCCACAACGCCACCTTTTGTGTTCTGAGTCGATTCAAAGCACGATTCATCAGTGTCGTCTAGTCATGGCCCACGGGTACCCTTGCCACAACGCCATCTGTTGCCACAACGCCATCTGTTGCCTCTCTCATCCTCCACCGTGTCCCTTTCCTGCTCCCCTCCGTCCCCTCAGGTTGAGTTTTGAGGCACCTCAAAACTAGACTTCCTGCTCCCCTCCGTCCCCTCAGGTTGATCCAATCAAGTGTTGGTCGGTCACCCCTCCACCCACCTGCTATATCGACTCAAGAGTTCTGTTTGGACGGTCAGCTACCGTTCTGTTTCTCGCCATCCATATTGCCTTTCCCTCTCCCCCCTTCTCCCCCTCCCCTCCCCTCAGGTCGACTCGATCAAGTGCTGGTCAGTCAACCCTCCGCTCACCTTCTACATCCGACTCAAGAACCAGCTACTGTTCAAGTGCTGCTCAGAATCCATGTTGTCTTAATCCCTGTCCCCCCTTCTCCCCCTCCCCTTTCCTCAGGTCGATTCGATCAAGTGCTGGTCAGTCAACCCTCGTGATTGAAGAAGTGTTTTGAGACGTCTCAAAACACTTCTTCAATCACGTGTCTATTGTCTTAATCCCTGTCCCCCCTTCTCCCCCTCCCCTTTCCTCAGGTCGATTCGATCAAGTGCTGGTCAGTCAACTCTCCGCTCACCTTCTACACCTCCTCCTCCGCCCTCCCCTCCTCTCCACCCCCCGCTCCCCATTCGGACTTCCGTTCCCTGCGGCCACTTCCCCTTCCGCGCCTCTCCTCCGCCCTCCCTCTCGCCCTTTTGGAAGGCTCCGATGATGCCACCACACAGGTGAGGCTCCTTCTCCCTCCTCTCCTCCCTCCTCGCCCCCCGCGGACTTCCTTCCCCTGCGTCCTCTTCCCCTTCCCCGCGTCTCCTCCGCTCTCCTTCCCCCCCTTTCAGAGGGCTCCGATGATGGCACCACACAGGTGAGACACATAGAGGGTTGCCTGGTTAGACGACTGTTGAGACGTTGCAAAGCCCTTCCCTGCCTCTCTTCCGCCCTCCCTCTCGCCCTTTCAGAGGGCTCCGATGATGCCACCACACAGGTGAGACACATAGAGGGTTGCCTGGTTAGACGACTGTTGAGACGTTGCAAAGCCCTTCCGCACCTCTCCTCCGCCCTCCCCTCCTCTTCCCCCTCCAAACCTCCTTCCCCTGCGCCTCTCCTCGCCCTCTCCTCCGCCCTCCCTCTCGCCCTTTCGGAAGGCTCCGATGATGCCACCACACAGGTGAGGCTCCGATGATGGCACCACACAGGTGAGGCTCCTTCTCCCTCCTCTCCTCCCTCCTCTCCTCCCTCCTCGCCCCCCGCGGACTTCCTTCCCCTGCGACCTCTTCCCCTTCCCCGTGTCTCCTCCGCCCTCCCTCTCGCCCTTTCAGAGGGCCCTGATGATTCCACACAGGTGACGTGACACACATAAAGGGCTGCTTGGGTGCTTGACAGGCTGTTTAAAGGGGAAGTGAGGGGGGGGATGATAACAACAGTGAGGGGACGAGGAGTGTTGGTTGAGGGGTGAGTGGGGGGGGAGAGAGTGTGAGAGAGAGAGTGAGATTTCTGAAACTTCCAACGGTCGCCGTGTGCATTTCTTGTGTCTCATCGTCGTCAGTCAGTTTCCCCGTCCTCCCCTCCCCCTCCCCTTCCCTTCTCCTTCCAGTCCTCTCACACTCACCCCACTCACTTCATTGCCTCCCACGGCATTGCGTGCTCTCATGCCACGCCATTCTAATCCACCTCATCCCCTCTCTTCCATCTCTCCCACCCACCAACCCCTCCCCTCCCAGGCCTCGCGCACTGACCCTTCTGACTTTGTCGGCTGTCACGGCCTTGCATGCTCTCTCACCATCCCATCGTGCCTTGCCATGCTATCGTCATGCTCCCACCATCCCCTCTCTCCCAGGCCTCGCGCACTGACCCTTCTGACTTTGTTGGCTGTCACGGCCTTGCCTGCTCCCATGGCTCCCATGGCTCTCACGCCATGCCAGGCTAATTCCAAGCTCCCCTCCCACTATCTCTCTCATGCTCCCACCATCCCCTCCCTTCGATCCCTCCCAGGCCTCGCGCACTGACCCCTCTGACTTTGTTGGCTGTCACGGCCTTGCCTGCTCTCACGCCAAGCCATTGCGCCATGCCATGATATCGTCCTCACCCCACGATCCCCTCCCTTCGATCCCTCCCAGGCCTCGCGCACTGACCCCTCTGACTTTGTTGGCTGTCACGGCCTTGCCTGCTCTCACGCCAAGCCATTGCGCCATGCCATGATATCGTCCTCACCCCACCATCCCCTCCCTTCGATCCCTCCCAGGCCTCGCGCACTGACCCCTCTGACTTTGTTGGCTGTCACGGCCTTGCCTGCTCTCACGCCATGCCATTGCGCCATGCCATGATATCGTCCTCACCCCACCATCCCCTCCCTTCGATCCCTCCCAGGCCTCGCGCACTGACCCCTCTGACTTTGTTGGCTGTCACGGCCTTGCCTGCTCTCACGCCAAGCCATTGCGCCATGCCATGATATCGTCCTCACCCCACCATCCCCTCCCTTCGATCCCTCCCAGGCCTCGCGCACTGACCCCTCTGACTTTGTTGGCTGTCACGGCCTTGCCTGCTCTCACGCCATGCCATTGCGCCATGCCATGATATCGTCCTCACCCCACCATCCCCTCCCTTCGATCCCTCCCAGGCCTCGCGCACTGACCCCTCTGACTTTGTTGGCTGTCACGGCCTTGCCTGCTCTCACGCCATGCCATTGCGCCATGCCATGATATCGTCCTCACCCCACGATCCCCTCCCTTCGATCCCTCCCAGGCCTCGCACACTGACCCCTCTGACTTTGTTGGCTGTCACGGCCTTGCCTGCTCTCACGCCAAGCCATTGCGCCATGCCATGATATCGTCCTCACCCCACCATCCCCTCCCTTCGATCCCTCCCAGGCCTCGCGCACTGACCCCTCTGACTTTGTTGGCTGTCACGGCCTTGCCTGCTCTCACGCCATGCCATTGCGCCATGCCATGATATCGTCCTCACCCCACGATCCCCTCCCTTCGATCCCTCCCAGGCCTCGCGCACTGACCCCTCTGACTTTGTTGGCTGTCACGGCCTTGCCTGCTCTCACGCCAAGCCATTGCGCCATGCCATGATATCGTCCTCACCCCACCATCCCCTCCCTTCGATCCCTCCCAGGCCTCGCGCACTGACCCCTCTGACTTTGTTGGCTGTCACGGCCTTGCCTGCTCTCACGCCATGCCATTGCGCCATGCCATGATATCGTCCTCACCCCACCATCCCCTCCCTTCGATCCCTCCCAGGCCTCGCGCACTGACCCCTCTGACTTTGTTGGCTGTCACGGCCTTGCCTGCTCTCACGCCAAGCCATTGCGCCATGCCATGATATCGTCCTCACCCCACCATCCCCTCCCTTCGATCCCTCCCAGGCCTCGCGCACTGACCCCTCTGACTTTGTTTGCTGTCACGGCCTTGCCTGCTCTCACGCCATGCCATTGCGCCATGCCATGATATCGTCCTCACCCCACCATCCCCTCCCTTCGATCCCTCCCAGGCCTCGCGCACTGACCCCTCTGACTTTGTTGGCTGTCACGGCCTTGCCTGCTCTCACGCCAAGCCATTGCGCCATGCCATGATATCGTCCTCACCCCACCATCCCCTCCCTTCGATCCCTCCCAGGCCTCGCGCACTGACCCCTCTGACTTTGTTGGCTGTCACGGCCTTGCCTGCTCTCACGCCATGCCATTGCGCCATGCCATGATATCGTCCTCACCCCACCATCCCCTCCCTTCGATCCCTCCCAGGCCTCGCGCACTGACCCCTCTGACTTTGTTGGCTGTCACGGCCTTGCCTGCTCTCACGCCATGCCATTGCGCCATGCCATGATATCGTCCTCACCCCACCATCCCCTCCCTTCGATCCCTCCCAGGCCTCGCGCACTGACCCCTCTGACTTTGTTGGTTGTCACGGCCTTGCCTACGCTCACGCCATGCCATCGTGCCTCACCATCTCCTCCCATCCCATCTCTCCCGCCCACCACCCCCTCCCTTTCATCTCCTCCCAGGCCTCGCGCACTGACCCCACTGACTTTGTTGGTTGCCACGGCCTTGCCTGCTCGCCCAATCGCCTCCTCATTGCAACGGTCAGTCCCCCTCACCAGTCAGTCACCTCAACCTCGCTGGTGCAGAGACGAATTTTGAGGCGCCTCAAAAGTCAGTCCCCCCCACCAGTCAGTCAACTCAACCTCGTTTTGCGTCTCAGATACTCTCAGCACCCCTCTTAACCCCCTTAACCTCGTTCTGCACTTTTCCCGGTTTCCCGGTTTCCCGGCTTCCCGGCTTCCCGGTTTCCCGGTTTCCCGGTTTCCCGGTTTCCCGGTATCCCGGTATCCCGGTATCCCGGTATCCCGGTATCCCGGTTTCCCGGTTTCCCGGTTTCCCGGTTTCCCGGTTTCCCGATTTCACGTTTTCTCGGCTTCCCGGCTTCCCGGTATCCCGGTATCCCGGTTTCCCGGTTTCCCGGTATCCCGGTTTCCCGGTTTCCCGGTATAGCGGTTTCCCGGTTTCCCGGTTTCCCGGTATCCCGGTTTCCCGGTTTCCCGGTTTCCCGGTATCCCGGTTTCCCGGTTTCCCGGTATAGGGGTTTCCCGGTTTCCCGGTTTCCCGGTATCCCGGTATCCCGGTATCCCGGTTTCCCGGTATCCCGATTTCCCGGTTTCCCGGTTTCCCGGTTTCCCGGTTTCCCGGTTTCCCGGTATCCCGGTATCCCGGTTTCCCGGTTTCCCGGTTTCCCGGTTTCCCGGTTTCCCGGTTTCCCGGCTTCACGGCTTCCCGGCTTCCCGGCTTCCCGGCTTCCCGGTTTCCCGGTTTCCCGGTTTCCCGGTTTCCCGGTATCCCGGTTTCGCGGTTTCCCGGTTTCCCGGTTTCCCGGTTTCCCGGTTTCCCGGTTTCCCGGTTTCCCGATTTCACGGTTTCTCGGCTTCCCGGCTTCCCGGTATCCCGGTTTCCCGGTTTCCCGGTTTCCCGGTATCCCGGTTTCCCGGTTTCCCGGTATAGCGGTTTCCCGGTTTCCCGGTTTCCCGGTATCCCGGTTTCCCGGTTTCCCGGTTTCCCGGTATCCCGGTTTCCCGCTTTCCCGGTATAGCGGTTTCTCGGTTTCCCGGTATCCCGGTATCCCGGTATCCCGGTTTCCCGGTATCCCGATTTCCCGGTTTCCCGGTTTCCCGGTTTCCCGGTTTCCCGGTTTCCCGGTTTCCCGGTTTCCCGGTTTCCCGGTTTCCCGGTATCCCGGTATCCCGGTATCCCGGTTTCCCGGTTTCCCGGTTTCCCGGTTTCCCGGTTTCCCGGCTTCACGGCTTCCCGGCTTCCCGGCTTCCCGGCTTCCCGGCTTCCCGGTTTCCCGGTTTCCCGGTTTCCCGGTTTCCCGGTTTCCCGGTATCGCGGTTTCCCGGTTTCCCGGTTTCCCGGTATCCCGGTATCCCGGTTTCCCGGTTTCCCGGTTTCCCGGTTTCCCGGTATCCCGGTTTCCCGGTATCCCGGTTTCCCGGTTTCCCGGTTACCCGGTTTCCCGGTTTCCCGGTTTCCCGGTTTCCCGGTATCCCGGTATCCCGGTATCCCGGTTTCCCGGTTTCCCGGTATCCCGGTATCCCGGTATCCCGGTATCCCGGTATCCCGGTATCCCGGTTTCCCGGTTTCCCGGTTTCCCGGTTTCCCGGTATCCCGGTATCCCGGTTTCCCGGTTTCCCGGTTTCCCGGTATCCCGGTATCCCGGTATCCCGGTTTCCCGGTTACCCGGTTTCCCGGTATCCCGGTTTCCCGGTATCCCGGTATCCCGGTATCCCGGTTTCCCGGTTTTCCGGTATCCCGGTATCCCGGTATCCCGGTTTCCCGGTTTCCCGGTATCCCGGTATCCCGGTATCCCGGTTTCCCGGTTTCCCGGTATCCCGGTAACCCGGTTTCCCGGTATCCCGGTATCCCGGTTTCCCGGTATCCCGGTATCCCGGTATCCCGGTATCCCGGTATCCCGGTTTCCCGGTTTCCCGGTTTCCCGGTTTCCCGGTTTCCCGGTTTCCCGGTATCCCGGTTTCCCGGTTTCCCGGTTTCCCGGTTTCCCGGTTTCCCGGTATCCCGGTTTCCCGGTATCCCGGTTTCCCGGTTACCCGGTTTCCCGGTTTCCCGGTTTCCCGGTATCCCGGTATCCCGGTATCCCGGTTTCCCGGTTTTCCGGTATGCCGGTATCCCGGTTTCCCGGTTTCCCGGTTTCCCGGTATCCCGGTATCCCGGTATCCCGGTTTCCCGGTTTCCCGGTTTCCCGGTTTCCCGGTATCCCGGTATCCCGGTTTCCCGGTATCCCGGTATCCCGGTTTCCCGGTTTCCCGGTTTCCCGGTTTCCCGGTTTCCCGGTTTCCCGGTTTCCCGGTTTCCCGGTATCCCGGTTTCCCGGTATCCCGGTATCCCGGTTTCCCGGTATCCCGGTATCCCGGTATCCCGGTTTCCCGGTTTCCCGGTTTCCCGGTATCCCGGTTTCCCGGTTTCCCGGTTTCCCGGTTTCCCGGTTTCCCGGTTTCCCGGTTTCCCGGTATCCCGGTTTCCCGGTTTCCCGGTTTCCCGGTTTCCCGGTATCCCGGTTTCCCGGTTTCCCGGTTTCCCGGTTTCCCGGTTTCCCGTTTCCCGGTATCCCGGTTTCTCGGTTTCCCGGTTTCCCGGTTTCCCGGTTTCCCGGTTTCCCGGTTTCCCGGTTTCCTTGTTTCCCGGTTTCCCCGGTTTCCCGGTTTCCCGGTTACCCGGTTTCCCGGTTTCCCGGTTTCCCGGTATCCCGGTATCCCGGTTTCCCGGTTTTCCGGTATCCCGGTATCCCGGTTTCCCGGTTTCCCGGTATCCCGGTATCCCGGTATCCCGGTTTCCCGGTATCCCGGTTTCCCGGTTTCCCGGTATCCCGGTATCCCGGTTTCCCGGTTTCCCGGTTTCCCGGTTTCCCGGTATCCCGGTATCCCGGTATCCCGGTATCCCGGTTTCCCGGTTTCCCGGTTTCCCGGTTTCCCGGTTTCCGGTTTCCCGGTATCCCGGTTTCTCGGTTTCCCGGTTTCCCGGTTTCCCGGTATCCCGGTTTTCCGGTTTCCCGGTTTCCTTGTTTCCCGGTTTCCCGGTATCCCGGTTTCCCGGTTTCCCGGTTTCCCGGTTTCCCGGTTTCCCGGTTTCCCGGTTTCCCGGTTTCCCGGTATCCCGGTTTCCCGGTTACCCGGTTTCCTGGTTTCCCGGTTTCCCGGTATCCCGGTATCCCGGTTTCCCGGTTTTCCGGTATCCCGCTATCCCGCTATCCCGGTTTCGCGGTTTCCCGGTATCCCGGTATCCCGGTATCCCGGTTTCCCGGTTTCCCGGTTTCCCGGTTTCCCGGTTTCCCGGTTTCCCGGTTTCCCGGTTTCCCGGTTTCCCGGTTTCCCGGTTTCCCGGTTTCCCGGTTTCCCGGTATCCCGGTTTCCCGGTTTCCCGGTTTCCCGGTTTCCCGGTTTCCCGGTTTCCCGGTTTCCCGGTTTCCTTGTTTCCCGGTTCCCGGTATCCCGGTATCCCGGTTTCCCGGTTTCCCGGTTTCCCGGTTTCCCGGTTTCCCGGTATCCCGGTATCCCGGTTTCCCGGTATCCCGGTATCCCGGTATCCCGGTATCCCGGTTTCCCGGTTTTCCGGTATCCCGGTATCCCGGTTTCCCGGTATCCCGGTATCCCGGTATCCCGGTTTCCCGGTTTCCCGGTTTCCCGGTTTCCCGGTATCCCGGTATCCCGGTTTCCCGGTATCCCGGTTTCCCGGTTTCCCGGTTTCCCGGTATCCCGGTATCCCGGTATCCCGGTATCCCGGTTTCCCGGTTTCCCGGTTTCCCGGTTTCCCGGTATCCCGGTATCCCGGTATCCCGGTATCCCGGTATCCCGGTATCCCGGTTTCCCGGTTTCCCGGTTTCCCGGTTTCCCGGTTTCCCGGTATCCCGGTTTCCCGGTTTCCCGGTTTCCCGGTTTCCCGGTTTCCCGGTTTCCCGGTTTCCCGGTTTCCCGGTTTCCCGGTTTCCCGGTTTCCCGGTTTCCCGGTTTCCCGGTTTCCCGGTTTCCCGGTTTCCCGGTATCCCGGTTTCCCGGTATCCCGGTTTCCCGGTATCCCGGTATCCCGGTTTCCCGGTTTTCCGGTATCCCGGTATCCCGGTTTCCCGGTTTCCCGGTATCCGGGTATCCCGGTATCCCGGTATCCCGGTTTCCCGGTTTCCCGGTTTCCCGGTATCCCGGTATCCCGGTTTCCCGGTATCCCGGTTTCCCGGTTTCCCGGTATCCCGGTATCCCGGTATCCCGGTTTCCCGGTTTCCCGGTTTCCCGGTATCCCGGTTTCCCGGTATCCCGGTATGCCGGTTTCCCCGTTTCCCCGTTTCCCCGTTTCCCGGTTTCCCGGTTCTTAGTTGGATTTGACGGAGCCAGCGTTTTGGCGCTACGTTTTTTTCGCTGAACGCAACCCTCCGAGATTATGACGTTGGTTTTGACGCTCTGGCAGGCAGGCAAAAAAAACCCTTCGGGCAGCCAAAAAAACCAAGAGGGGTGGGGCTCGGGGGGGGTGGGGGGGGGGGGGGGATGGAAGAAGGTAAGAGGGTCGGGAAGGCGCTGGCCTGCTCTTCCCAGCCTCAACCGTAACATGCTCCTCCTTCCCCCTCTCCCCTTCTTCCCCTCCCCTCCTTCCCCCTCAACCGGTACGTTTTGACGCTGGACGTAAGGCCTTCCTGGCGTCAAATCCAGCTAAGCTCAGAACTACCTGCGATTTCCCTGACCACCCTTCACTCCCCTATCACCCCTAACCCTTCAAGCGTTTCCCTGTGTATCTAAAGGTGACTCAGAGCTCCTCCTAATGGCCGTTCATCATCTTACACCTCCTTGCTGCCTGCCCTGCTGTTCCCTTCTGTCTGCTGTGCTGCCTCCCCTTGCTGTCTCCTTGCTGTCTGCTGTGTTTCCCTGCTGCCTGCCCTGCTGCCTCCCTTTCTTACCGTGCTGCCCTGCTGCCTTCCCTTCTGCCGAATCACCTCTAATTCAGGTTCGGGACATGGCTCAGCATTTGAAGAATGACATGTACACCAAGTGAGTGCCTCTGGTTGCTCTAAGTGCTTTCCAACCTTCAGATTTGCTGCTCTTCCGCTTTCAGTGAGGACCCTCAGCATTTGAAGAATGACATGTACACAAAGTGAGTGCCTCTTTGCTCCTGCCCAAAACGTTCCTTGGTTTGGCTGGACTGTCCCGTTGTACGGCCAAACTTGCATTGAGTCGACTTTTTAGGCGCCTCAAAAGTCGACCCAAAACGTTCCTTGGTTTGGCTGGACTTTCCCGTTGTACGGCCAAACTTGCCGCTTGTTCTGCCCTCTTCCTCGGCGCCTGCCTCTGCAGGTCGTTCAAAGCAGCAGTGCAGCTATTCTGGATAGCAGGCCAACGACTCAACCCCACCACCTCTCCATATTCCTCCTGCTGCTGTTGCTGCTTCCTCCTCTCCCTGTGCTCCCTGCCTCTGCAGGTCGTTCAAAGCAGCAGTGCAGCTATTCTGGATAGCAGGCCAACGACTCAACCCCACCACCTCTCCATATTCCTCCTGCTGCTGTTGCTGCTTCCTCCTCTCCCTGTGCTCCCTGCCTCTGCAGGTCGTTCAAAGCAGCAGTGCAGCTATTCTGGATAGCAGGCCAACGACTCAACCCCACCACCTCTCCATATTCCTCCTGCTGCTGTTGCTGCTTCCTCCTCTCCCTGTGCTCCCTGCCTCTGCAGGTCGTTCAAAGCAGCAGTGCAGCTATTCTGGATAGCAGGCCAACGACTCAACCCCACCACCTCTCCTGCGGCTTCGTCTGCTGCCTCTTCTGCTCCTGCTACCGCTGCCCCTGCTTCTGCTGCTACCTCTTCCCCAACTCCCACCATCACCCCTCCCAGCCTTCACCCTGAACCCCTCGTCTCCCACCTGTTGCACTGCTGGGGTGTGTCAAGGAGGGGCAAGGGGGCGGCAGCAAGGAGAGCACGAGAGATGGTGGCATGGGAGCAGGCAGTCAGATCCTCTCTTCGCCGCCTGCTGAACCAAGACTGCTCCTGCTGCCCCTGCTGCCCCTGCTGCCCCTGCTGCCCCTGCTGTCCCTGCTCCTGCTGCTGCTCCTTTCCCAGCTGCTGCTCCTGCTCTTCCTGCTCCGCTCTTCCCTCTCCTGCTGCTGCCTCACCACCTACTTCCGCCGGTGTTTCTCACAGCTCACAACTTCAGCACGTGCCACACTGCTCACGTCTCCCCCTGCTCCCATCCCCCTTTGTCCCCTGGGACCTCCTCGCCTCTCTTCTCAACCTCGCCAAGCAAGCTGCCTCTCTTCCCTCCACTGCCACTCCTTCTGCCAGCACCGCTGCTGCTACTACTGCAGCAGCAAACGCCCCCACTAATACTTCCCCCTTGCCATCTGCCAGCCTGCCTGCCTCGCTCCACTCGTCCCTCGCCCTCCTCGTCTCTCTTCTTCTCTCAGAGCTCGTCCCCTGCCACGTCTCCTGCTCGGCTCTCTCCCTCTTGCTCCTCGAAGACTCACCCCTTCCCTCGTCTGCTGCAGCTGCCAAAAGCTCTGGCCAGCAGGAGCAGCAGCAGAATCGCGAGCAGCAGCAGCAGGGGCAAGAAGGGCAATTGAGTGCAGAGGATTCTATACGAGAACTTTCAACTCAGCAGTTGCAAATCCTCTCCACCTGCCTCCGCCACATGCTCACTTCCTCACTCCCTACCAACCAGCAGCAGCAACTCAATCTCACCCCCAGGCGCACCACACTTCCCTCCCCGTCCTCCTCTCCTTCCTTCCTCCTCTCCCCTCTCCTCCCTCCTCCTGTCTCGTCCAAGCAACAAGGGTCAGAGTTGCAGGTTTGGCAGCAGGGCAAGCGGGAGCAACTAGGGACCGGACATCTGCAGCAGGGAGAGGAGGAGGGAGAGGAAGAGAGAGCAGAGGAGCAGATAAGAGGTGGTGGGAGGCAGTGGAGTCAGGTGCAGCGGGTGCAGGAGGGGTTGAGAAGGATGCAGCAGGAGTTGCAGCAGCGGTTGGCATTGTCTGCTATGGTCACTGCGGCCTTGTGTCACGGCGAGGGAAGAGGGAATGAGACGGAAAGGGCAGGGAGGAACCACGCAGCAGGTGGGGGGAAGGCAGCAGGGAGGGGGGCAGCAGCAGGGAGGGGGACAGCAACGGAACCCTCAACCACGGAGGGAGGGAGGAACAAAGCAGCAGGGGGGGAGGCAGCAGGGAGGGAGGCAGCCGGGGGAGAATCGGCAGCAGGGGCTAACGAAGCAGTAAGGGGGTGCATGGAGCGGGCAGCAGTCAATTGGTGCCATTGGGTGCTCTCTCATACCACACACACTGCTACCACTGCTGCTGCTGCTGCTACCACTGCTGCTGCTGCTGCTGCCGCTGCTGCTGCAGGTGGTGATGATGCCGGTAGTGTAGGTTTGAATACGGGCACACAGGAGCAGACCAGGGCAACGGGAGCAACTGTCCTAGTGCATCCCCTTCTCACGACCTGCGCGCTTACATTTGCACATCGGTAAGATTTTGAGGCGCCTCAAAACGCAACTGTCCTATTGCATCCCCTTCTCACAACCTGCGCGCTTACATGTGCACATCGGTCAGAAGCCCTTCTCTCTGCAGCCCCATTGTATTATCTGATTCAAAAGAGTACTGCTTTTACAAGCTTTCTGCTTCGCCGGATCCCTCACTCCCCCTCACCTCACACCTCGCTTTTCCTCTTCCTCTTCTTCCCATCTCCTCCCCATTCCCTCACTCCAGGTCAGGACTTACAACCCCAGCCACGATTCCCTCCCTTCCCCACACCTCCCTCTGCACCATCACGCTAAAGCCAATCAATGCCACCCAGACGGTGTGGCATTGCTTGTCCTGTAGCCGCCGGATCTCCACTGAAGGCATGCTCTGCCTGGACGCTTGCCGCCCGTTCTTCCTGCCCTCGGGCAGGCAAAACTTCTGGGTCCGGGCAGAGGCATGGGCAGAACGTTTAAAAGAAGCCTCTGGAATATCAGCTGAAGCAGCAGCTGAACCTGAAGAGGAGGTAACAGCAGCAGCAACAGTAACCACCACCATGCCTGTTTGCCCGTACTGTGCGGTGCAAGCTGTTGCTCCCACCCCACGTGCCCTGCTGTCTCTCTCGCTTGTGTAGCATGAAGACATTCCGCTGCTTGTGCACGAGCGGGGAAGCTGATGGTAACAGATTATGGTAGGTAGGCACACCTGCATTAGCAGTTACCATGCATGCCTGTATGGCTGTGCCATGCACTGCACGCTGTTGCTCTTTTAGGCGCCTCAGAAGTTACCATGCATGCCTGTATGGCCGTGCGGTGCGGTGCAAGCTGTTGCTCCCACCCCACATGCGGTACCCTGCTGTGTCCCTCAATTGTTTGACAGGAAGACAAGGCAGTCCCCTGTCTTTGTTGTTAGCAGTCCCCTGCTTGTACATGAGAAGGGAAGCTGGTGGGAGAGGAGGGGTTAGCAGCAGCAGCAGTCGCAACTGTGCCTGTATGGCTGTACTGTGTGGTGCGAGCTGTTGCTCCCAGCCTCCCACCCCACATACGGTACCCTGCTGTGTCCCTTGGTTGTTATACATGAAAGCAGTCCCCTGCTTGTACAAAGGAGAGGGCAGTCCCCCAACCGTCGTTGACTCGTTAGCACAGTTCACTCCCTGATGATCAATCAATTGGATAACCATAATGAAGTACAGTACCATCTACCCACCAGGGTACAACAGTATGGTAGTTACTGTTTATAAAGGATACAGAACAAGGCAAAATGCACATCCAGGCTGTTCATTCAGTAGTGAATCAGCCTAACAGACGCTAAGCTCTCAACCTACCAGCAGATTCCACATGATATACAAGAGGCAAACGTCACCCCAGCATTGCGTGCTTGATGAGGAGAGCTTGCAACATGCCCTACACCTGCCTCTCTTCCCCCTCCATTCTTTCCTTTGCTGCAAAGGCAGGCAGTCACACAGAGAGCAGCAGTCAGGTGTAACCATGCAGTCAAAAGGAGAGTGCCAGGAGACCAAAACGAAATTCACTGACTTGACAGACATACACGAGCAGCAAATGCAAGCTCATGCAACCATGTGGCAGATCAGGCAGCTGGGGAAGCAAACGGCATGGTGTGAATGCAGTGTGCTAAAGAACGACCATGAACTCACAAGGAGAGGCCAGGAGACCGAAGGAGCTCACTGATGCATGTCGCAATGGCAAGTAGCAGAAAAGAAATCTACAGAGACGATTACCCAAAGGGAAGCAGCAAACCAAAGGAGGTGAGGCAAGGAGGTGAGGCAAGGAGCAGAGGCAAGGAGCAGAGGCAGGAGGAGAAGTAGCAGGGGCGGGAAAGGGAAGATGAAGGGGTGAGCGGGAGGGGGAATTGAGGAGAGCTTTGAGATGAGTGGTAGGGGCAGGGGGAAGGAGGCAGGAGAGAGGGGGAGGGGGGGGTGGGGGGGGGGATGGGGGAGGGTCTGGAGAGAGATAATAGGGAATGAGGAGATGAAGAGTGAGCGGAGGGGGAATGTGGGCTGGGAATGTGGGAATGGGGAAGGGACTGGAGAGAGGTGGTGGATGGGAAAAGGTAATGAGGAGTGTATGGGTGGGGTTGATGAGGGGTGAGCGGGGGAAAGGGGAGGGGAGAGCGGGGGGATGGACGTGGGAATTGGGGGAAGATGACGGGTGAGCGGGGGTACGGTGGGAGGGGAGGGAGAGGGAGGGAGTGGGGGATGGGGAGAGCCGGAGAGATGAGGAACGAGCACAGAAAATTAGGGGAGAAGGCTGAAGATGGGGGAAGAGTGGGGAAGATGAGGGGAGAGTGGGGGAGACGAAGGGAGAGCAGGGATTTGAGGGGAGAAAGGGGATGCGGCGAAAATGAGAGGAGAGTGGGGGAAAGAGGGGGGAGAGGGGATTTGAGTGGGGGATGCGGGATGCGGACAAGGCAAGGGGAACAAGGGGGAGAGAGGGGGACGGAAGCGCGGGAAGGGAAAAGGGGGAAATCAGGGGAAAGAGGCCACTCCGCTTCTACCTCTCGCCAGTCCTTTCCTTTTATATTTTCCCCAGTTCATTCTCCCTCCCTTCCGCTCCATTACCCCTCCCCTTCCCACCCAGGATCCCTCTTTCCACTGTTTTGCGCAACGGTCAGGCCAAGTCTTCATAAGACGTGGCAAATGTCTTCACATTTTTATTATCGACTCCCGTATAGTCTTGAAGGAAGCGTTACGAATGTGTCCGCGAATCGACAATAATGTTCCAAACGCAGATAAACACATGAGCTTAAAAATCGTCAGATCTTAGCAGTACAGGCAAACGACAGATACGATTACTGTTGCAAATCTGGAGAGAGCAGCTAACAGTACCTTCGACGCTAGCAGCACCGCACTAAATGTGTGAAGCGGCGAACGCTAAAGTAGGACTGAAGCGCGATCGAAACTAGCTACGGTTCTAAGATGTAACTAGTTACGAAAACAATATTAGAAACTCTATGTGAAAAATTACTACCGCTTTTGCCTCCAAAAAGAAGTAAGCGAGGGTCGCGAGATGTACGGTGATGCGAGAAATCGTCGCAGCTTTGATCTAACGGAAAACTAGCTAGAAGAACTGGAATATGACGAAGGAGAAGAATGGCGAAATGACGCGCATCGGCGGAAATCGCGTTTCTCTCAATTGCATCGACCTAAATTACTCCGACCTCGCCACGTGGGCGTTTCCCTTAAAGCAGCAGTATACATTGGAAAGTACTATTTGTTTTGTACAGTGTGCTGAGGGGGATTCGCCTCAACGAAACAAAAAACAGACTGGCGAGGGTGTTGGCGAAAAACTGAGGCGGCACTGTTGTGAGGGAACAAGGGTTGGGTGGGGAGGTTGTCAGTCACAAACCGAACTCACCTGCCTCGCTGGCACGCTTCGAAGAGACTAGTAGCTATCAGAACTGGTAGAAGTACCTAAGGAGTGGGCTAGTGGTTGCTAGACCTGGAGCGCGACCACACACATAGGTAGTCGCGGGTGAGTAATTAGCCATGTGCAGAGCAGGCGACGGTTAAAAAGCGACCAGCAAAAACGCCCGCCATCTCCCCCACGTGCACTAATATTTCGACGCAATGCACTCGGACGATGGCACAGAGGCATTCGCCTCAATCCGCCGTATTGAATACTTAGCGCCCGTCGAAACCTATCTAATGCGCCACTACGAGGGGCATTCGACGCGCTCCCCGCAATGGCTTCGTGCATTCAGAAAATACACATTTCACGTGGGGAGGTATTTGCACTCCTCCGCCAGCCAGCTGGCCCGTCGCCCTTAGCCAGGATTAGCCCGCGCATAAGCAGAAGCCTGTGCAGCAGCAGTTGCGCGCTCTCCTCGAGCCTCGAACGCACGCCTGCATTCCGCGCGAGACAGCGCAGCGCGCGTCAGCAATGCGCGCTCAGCATAGCAGCGCGCGCCAGCAAAAAGCGCGCAGCAAAGCGGTACGCGCCTGCATAGCGCGCGCGCCTGCACAGCGAGCGCAGATGACGCTCGCGCGTCATCAATCAGCACGCGGTTGCAAGCACGCGCGCTCCAGCCCCATTTCCCCCCCTGCGCCCCATATTTCCCCCTATGCCAGCCCCATTTTTCCCCCCTGCCAGCCCCATTTTTCCCCCCTGCCAGCCCCATTTCCCCCCCTGCTAGCCCCATACTTCCCCCCATGCTAGCCCCATGTTTCCGCCCTCTTAGCCCCATGTCACCCCCCTACTGCTGGCCCTATGTTTCCCCCCATGCTAGCCCCATTTTTCCCCTCCTTCCCCCCCCCCCTTCTTCCCCCCTTTTCCCCTACGGCTTCCCCTCCTTTCCCCCCCTGCTTCCCCTCCTTTCCCCCCACGCTTCTCCCCTTTTCCCCCACGGCTTCCCCTCCTTTCCCCCCCTGCATCCCCTCCTTTTCCCCCCTTGCTTGCCCTCCTTTCCCCCCCTGCTTCTCCTCCTTTCCTGCTTCCCCTCCTTTCCTTCGGTGCTTCCCCTCCTTCCCCCATGCTTTTTCTCCCTTTCCGCCCCTGCATCCCTTCCTTTCCCCCCCTGCATCCCTTCCTTTCCCCCCCTGCATCCCCTCCTTTTCCCCCCCTGCTTCCCCTCCTTTCCCCCCCTGCTTCCCCTCCTTTCCCCCCCTGCTTCCCCTCCTTTCCCCCCCTGCATCCCCTCCTTTCCCCCCCTGCTTCCCCTCCTTTCCCCCCCTGCTTCCCTTCCTTTCCCCCCCTGCTTCCCCTCCTTTCCCCCCCTGCTTCCCCTCCTTTCCCCCCACGCTTCTCCCCTTTTCCCCCACGGCTTCCCCTCCTTTCCCCCCCTGCTTCCCCTCCTTTCCCCCCCTGCTTCCCCTCCTTTCCCCCCCTGCTTCCCCTCCTTTCCTGCTTCCCCTCCTTTCCCCCCTGCTTCCCCTCCTTTCCTGCTTCCCCTCCTTTCCCCCCTGCTTCCCCTCCTTTCCCCCCCTTCTTCTCCTCCCTTCCCCCCCTGCATCCCCTCCTTTCCCCCCCTTGCTTGCCCTCCTTTCCCCCCCTGCTTTACGTCCTTTCCCCCCCTGCTTCTCCTCCTTTCCTGCTTCCCCTCCTTTCCTTCGGTGCTTCCCCTCCTTCCCCCATGCTTTTTCTCCCTTCCCCCCACTGCATCCCTTCCTTTCCACCACTGCTTCCCCTCCTTTCCCCCCCCTGCTTCCGTATTTTTCACCCACCTTTCCCTCATTTTCCCCATCTGCTTGCCTCTGTGCCTCTCCACCCCCTTACACCCCAATCAGCTCCTTCGACTTTGCTTATTCTCGGTCCTCCCTTTTTACCCTGCTTATGCTCCCTCCTCCCTTTACCCTCCCTCTTGCCCTCTACCCACTGTTTCCACTTTCCACCTCCAGTGCTGTGTTTACCGCCTTCCCTTTCCATACTGAGGGTTCTCGCGTGCAGCACGGAAGAAGATGGACCAGTTTCCTTCAGTCTAGGCTTGCATGTGCTCCCACTCAGTGTTGAATTCGGTTGAATGTTACAACACGTTTATATTGCACATGATGTTCACATGCATCCGATATGTATCACATTATCTGTCTTCTAGATGTCTTTCTTTCGGTAAGCCATCTCTACGTTTGAAAATTAGCACAGCAATGATGTTGAAAAAAAGGAGCTTTTCAAGTTGTATGTG